CTGCTCCCTTCTTCCCTGGCAAACGCCTAACTAGGTCGAACTTGGGTGCAGGAATGAGAGGAGAGGCCACCTGTTGCTGGTTTTTTAGGCACTCACCCTACAGGATGCAATGTTAGAGCATTTCACAGGAACCTTGAGACTTTTTTGACGGACAAAGCAACACATGCATTTTCTGATCCTCACTGGAGAATTTATCCTCTGGACACAATAGCTCTTTAAGAGTAAATTCTGAAGGAGACAGCTTGTGTAGAAAATGAGAACAAATCATAAACGTTTGGCAGAACTTTAAACAAATACTTATTTCTGATAATGGGCCTAACCCAAAATTATCTATGTTTGCATCTGTGTTGATATATTAAATATTAGTATAACAGCACTAATGAAGTTATGATTAGGACCTGCCCCTCTTTCTGAGAGAGGTTAGAGTGCCATGTAAGAGCATGTGGTCTCAAATTTGAAATTCTTTACATTGAAAAGCCAGAGTTCTTTTTTTAGCATATGAATGATAGTGATAGGTATGCTATTTAAAACGCGGGAAGCTGACATACTGTAGATACGGCTGTTTACACTTTTTTTTTATGCCTGAGGCTCACAAAGAGGATGAACAAACCAAAGGACACTTCTTCAATGAGTTAGTTTTGTTGAAGAAAAAAAATCCAAGAATAGAGTTATTATTCCGGTTATTGATACTAATAACTGTGTTTAAGCTTCATAATTAATTAATTGTAATGTTCTTGGCTGCCCCTGTGGTGACATTGTGAACAATACTTCCTTTAGTAATAGCAGACGTCCATTATCTTGTAGTATATTTTTCTTATAATTCTGAAATAGAAAGTTTTACAATATATTACGTATGAATTGAGAAGGCTTCTCTGCATAAACAGTCCATATAAAAATGTAAGACTTATCTAAAAGGTAACAGTAGCTTAATCTGTTTTAAGAGTGGCATATTTTAGTTTTAAACTAAATTTAGACAGTTGTTAATTAACTTGAGACCCAGTGAACAAATCTGTTTTAAATGAAATAAGGTTGACATGAAATTTTGCAGTTTTCTTGTGGAGACAAGACCTCAGGCTAAGGAACAGGTTTTTGTTGTTGTTTGTTTGTTTGTTTGTTTAATTGCTGTATTTGTATGTTTTATATGATAAACATTGCAATAAATAAAAAAAAATTACCATCTGAAGTTAAAGTAACATAGGGCTCCTGATGGCATGTGTTACTCTCTAGGTTTGTGTAAAGTTATTTTTTTAAAGGAATAGTACGAGGCATTTTTTATTTACATCTATGTGACCTTTCAGTATACAGTATCCTCCATAAGCTTTCTTAAATAGTTGTTTAGTGTTCATCACCAGCACCTGAAAGGCGGTAAGCATCTGATTGTTGAAAAACTGTGTTGAAAAAGCAAAATATCTGTGCAACCTGTCTCCAGTATGAGAAAAAAAAATCTGTTTGTAATGCTTTGAAGCCAGAAGTTGTTTCTTTATTTTCACAAGGCTTGAGCAAAGAGCTGTGTTGCAACCTGCAGTTATGTTGTTAGGTAAGGCAGGGTGGAGTGTAGCAGGTGCTTATTAATACCTCTAGGCTACAGGTAAAGGTGACTGTATTTTCTTCAGCGTTCACAGACCTAAACAGGTGGATATTGTTTTAATAATTGGGTTGAGAGTGGACACTATTTATCCTCTTTTTTTTAAAGGCAAACCTTTAATGTAGATCTATGAAAGAAATGGTAACTTTTAAAGTTAAGTAACATTTCAGGTCTTCTCGTTGTATCTACCAGCTCCCTACTTTTAAATAAAAAAGGCTTGTTCATGATTTCAAAACTAAAGGAATTTGTCTCTGCCCTTCCAAACTAAAATGAGTTTCTTCTGGATTTTTTTTTTCCTAAGGCTTTTTTTATTTGTGTGGGTTTTATTTGGTTTTGGTTTGGTTTGTTTTTTTTTTTTGATAAATTGATTTTAGGTAGGAATTTGACAGTATTTTAACTCTGAAAAATTGAAACAATATAGAGCAGCACGGTACAACACTGTGGCCATACTGAATATTTGAGAGGTGGTTATATGATGAACTGAAATTGCATAACAGATAGAAAATGCAGAGGCTGACTACACAGCTTTGAACTTCATTGCTGCTTTGTATATCAAAGCAAGCTCTGGAAGAGTGTGAATGTGAATGGCTAAAATCAGAGAAAAATGTTAAATAAAATTTAACCTATTTTGTGTTTAGACTGAAGATGAAAATTGTACATGCGAGAATGTGAACACAGAGTCTGTCAAACTCGATTAGGAAGGTCTTTTCTATGATATTTCATTTACAGTGGACTAAACACTGTGGATGGTTTTGCCTGGACTGCTCCTTCATGACTTCCTTCAGCCAGGCTCCTCTGACGTTGCAGGAAGCCATAGCAGAATAAACCCTGCACTGGGTTTGAAGAATTCTAGGGTTAAGACTGAAGTGAAACCTGGAATTTTTGGTGGTGTTTCTTTTGGGTATTTATGGCTCTTAAATAGCAACAGGAAATGTAATGCTGGACCCACTTTTTCAAACATGCAAATACTTGTCAGGACCAGTTTTTATGTAGTATTTCCCATAGTCCACAGTTTACCAGTAAATATTCTACCAGTGATAGCATGAAAACAGATCAGTATTTCCCTTGTTGATGTTGTAGTATTTGTACTTACTTAGCCCGTACTGCTGCATACTTCACCTTTTTTCCCCTGTTTTTTGCCACCTTCTAAATGTCTACTTTTGTACCCTTCCTTTGCCTTACCCTCCTTTGCTTGTCAGACTTGCAGTCATGTTGTTTCTGTTGCAGCAGCAATGCTTTGAGTCCCAGACACAGGAGTATAGGGCATCAGAGGCACGAGTCCAACGGCCTGCTGCGAGATAATGGCGAAAGCTCGAGCTGCTCAGAGAAATACTGCTGCTGTTCCTGGCGTTTTGGGTTTTTTTTTAGTATCTGCTGTTACAGACCCCTGGCAGCATCACCTCTGTCATAGGCTGACCCTAATAAGCCAGGTGCCATTTGGTATTGACTCTACTATTTGGGAAACTAGTGGCCTGAATTGAAAAAACAGGTATTTTTTTTTTTTTAATATAGATGATACAAATGTGAGGAGCTGCTTGTGGGTCCTTCCTCCACGTTTCCTTCAGTGCACAGAGAGATGAAGCATGCACTCACAGCTGTCTAAAGTAGCTGGAGTAATCACCCTGTGCTGAAGGAAATTTGCAGCAGCTTTGCAAAATTGCCTTTGGCGTCTGTTTTAGTGTTCCTGTAGAACCAGCTAACTCAATTTTTTTCATCAGTTGATGCAGCATTTTTCAAAACAAGCTAGTCAACATTTTTAAAGATTTTTATTGCAGTTTCTTTCAGAATTGGGATGTGCCCAAATATCCATCTGTCTTTGCTATATCATTGTTCCTGAATGGGAATTGCTTTTTTCCCCCATGTAGTGCTTGTCCATCCCTCTGATTACTGCTTTATTTTCTTTAGTAGTTTAAAAAGAATTTAAATGGCATTTTAACAGTTTACTTCTCCATTTGTGGTGCGCTTTTTTTTTTGTTTGTTTAAAATAGCAGGTATACAGTGATGAACTATACATTGAAGTGTAATTATTTTGTGATTATATCCACTGAAGTATATCCAGGCACAGTTTGCTAATGAAATACACTTCAGTGATCCCATTTCTTGTTCAATGGGATCACCTTTTGACAAGCATTTTGTAAGGAAAAAAGATGCATTTGATGGATTTGGTACAAGAAAAAAAAATCAAGAGTGGAATTATTTATGTTTTTCTAGAGGCTGTTGTTTCTACAGACATTATTCATTTATTAAAGACATGCTATCTGGAGAGAGATGTATTCAAATTATATATCTGGATTTGCAGATACCAAAGGAAAGCCCTCTGGGGAGCCTTGCATACTTATAGTACTTCTTAAACTGTGGCACTATATTACTAGAACTATGTAAGAGAGCTCTGTATGTTTTTGGAAGCTCTCTTATCCAAAGAAAAATGTTACTGACTTCTGCAGTTTTGATGGGGATATAAGCATGAAAGTGAAGTTCTTAATCTACTTGTTTACACAAGCTTATTTTTGTCACTTCCTTATTATAACAGTACCTGTGTTAGAAGACCTTTGTGATAAGATTCCGGGATCCTTATTTGCCTTTACTTCTGTTTTACTAATTCACTTTCTCTGTTTTCCCCAATATGATTTTAAAAAACCCAAAACAAACAAACAAACAAAGAAAAGAAGAGCTGTATTCTACTGCTGTCCCACTGCAACGGTATCCTGTGGCTCCAGTGCTCAGCCTGGGCTTATGTTCTGTGCAACAGCGTTTCCTCTGGAGCTCCCTCAATAAAAGGTGGCACAGAGACGTATGTTATATTGAGGTCTGTGGCTTTTAGGCCTTTATTGGCTAAAACATGCTCACTCTGAAGTTTCTCAGGTTGGCCATTAAGTCAGGAAACAGTGCTTGACACATGCATTTCTAAGAGTTGCCTTGGATAAGGTGGCTATTTAATCTGTTGAATTTTGGATCGTGGTTTATTTCATGAACACAGGTAATGCCACTCTTCTCCCAGAATGAAGCTCTGTGTTCTGGAGTATATGTCATTAAAGAGAACCTGAGACTATCAGTCGAGGATGGTTTTCTAGGTCAATAAGGGGAATCAGAATCAGTATCACTGAGTAATAAATTATGTGTGTTACTTCTTACATAAGCCCCTTGCTTTAATCCTCATTGAATTATATGTGAATGGAATAAAAAAATAAACTGCTACCAACAAAGAAACAAACTAGTGTATTAAAATAAAAATTCTCCTTTCTAATTAACTTCAAAATTAGCACATATTAAGAGCCATGCTTTCCTTTTTTTCAGGACAGACAACTCCACCCTGTGTCTTTTCTCTAATGATCGCTGAATGTTCTTATACTTTTCTTTTTTTTTGGTTTGCAGTATTGTCCTAATTGTTGCGTTTTTGCATTTTTTTATTTAACAGTTGTTCCTGTCATTTTGAAAGCGCTGACATATGATGAGAAGAGGGGGGCGTGCAGCGTGGGTTCCAACGTGAGAGATGCAGCGTGCTATGTGTGCTGGGCCTTTGCTCGTGCTTATGATCCTGCAGAACTGATACCATTTATTAATAAGATTTCAAGGTAAGTTGTGGCAATAAGAAACAGAGGTATTTACAGCTAATTCTTAAAATCTATTCAAAATTAGGAAGGAGCTGGAAGTTAATCTAATTCTATATCTTCTAGACGTTAATAACCTAGGAGTCTAATGCTCTTTTAAGACATTTAAAATTAGATACTGACCAAATATATGATACATCCATTTAGGGGAAACACCTTCATGCTTAAGAAGTAGTTGGTACGTCCCATATAACGTGAATGAAATTCATTGATATCTGGATATTGTTCGCCAAGGAATGGATATTTTTGTTTCTCTATGATAATTTCCTTCTGTTTATCTGGCATAAGAAAACTAAAAAAATTCTAACAATATTCACTGTAAGAAGATTCAGATAAATTAGCAGAGGCTTTGAGGCGAGGGTGGTGTTGTCTGTTGTCAGCTTGGTCACCTACTTTATGGTTAGCTCAGCAAAACGGATTCAGGAAGTTTAAGAAGATTGAATGAAACGTTAGTGCACTAGAGGTAGAAATAACAAACCAATCTGAAGTTTGGGAGTTGCTGTATGGAGTCACAAAGTGCTGGAAATATTAGAAGAAGAGACAATGTACGGAAGAAGTTACTTCTTACTTTTTCAAGTGAACACTTGTTTCTACTGATCCAGGAGTTCTAGTACTTCATCAGATGGGTATGATGCAAAGAATGTAGCATGTCTTTATCAACCAGCTTGCAACTTGCAAGTTGAGCAGGTTAGGTCTAAAAGGATAAACTACACTTCAGCTCTTCTCTAAAGAGCCATTTCAGAGCCTCCTGGTTCTTCTATACAATTTATAATTTTCATTTTGAAATGTTCCAATTCAAAGGATATTTTGAGTAGATAATACAATGACTTCAAGTTCCTAAAAGTGGTAAGAACTTGAGCTTTGCAGAGTGATCCTGAATTCTTAGTAACATACCACTTGAAAAACTGAGTTTTTATTTATTGTAACTAATTTAAATTTATTGTAATTAAAAGGAGGTTTTGGTTAAAGTTTAAAATACAAGAGAGTATTTTTTGTCTTTTGATACATTTTGTTTGTATAGAGTACCCCCATCCAGAATGACCACTGTGCTAATCTCTACTTACCGTTGAATGGAGATGCATGCAAGTATTTCTTTTTCAACCAGTGGTTACTGTTTCAAAAGACTTTCAAGAGTCAAACTTCAAAAGATGCCCACATCAAAATCTGTCACACTGCAATGGTGGACTAGAACTTGGTGCAGCTTTTCCCTTAATATGGAGGATAATGCTGTAGATACAAACTGGTTTTACCTTTTTCTTTTTTCTTTTTTCTTTCTTCTCTTGCTTTTCCTCCTATTTGCTGGTCTTGTGGGATTCTGTCTTCAGCATTTAGTCTTTTTGTTGGCAGTACACTGGCTGACATTTCAAGGTGTCTTTAATGGGTGATTTGCACTGCAAACACAAAGAGGTAGCTTCTAACAGTTTCTTGGCAGGCTTTTAGTGCACCCATTGATAGTAGCCACTCAGGCATCTTTCTCTCCATCTTGAGGGGTTTTGATCAGTGGTCATTTCGTATTATCTTTTTTTTAAAGAAAAAAAAAAAGTTTGGACTCTATAGTGATTTGAGGTCCTGGATATCTGGTTCTGTTTCTAGGGCTGCCTTGTTTCCAGATTGCTGACAGAATGATTTCAATTACTGTATGTGTCCATCTCCGCTAAACAGCCTTGTTTGGAAACACGGGATTACTTTCTTAGCTCAGCAGGTTCCCAGAGAATATATGACTTTTTCTTTCTTCTTTAGAACATGTTTATAAAGTTCTTTGGCACAGTCTGTAAGCCCTACATACCTACTTTTATTCCTTGATCCCACTGTACTGTACCCTTGCTGGTCTCTGATGTTCTTCATCCTTGTATCCTCACTTTCCAATGCTGGTCCATTATCGCAGGATCACATAACAGTGTCTCTTATCTGTGTGGTACTTGCTCCTGGGGTTTTTTGAAACCTTGATAAAATCTTTCTGTCTAAGAATCTGATGTCAAATTTCTTGAGGCCAAATGCTGTTTTTCTTTCTTTTTTTAAGTTGTCGTCTCTTTTTCTCCAAAGTGAGCAGACAAAATTTCTAAGACATCTTAGCCTTGTGTCTCTGATAAAGCAGTTTCATATTGTTTTGATCATGTTTCATCTACAACAGAATACAGACAGAAGGAGAGGAGTTTTGTCACACCAAGTTGTGCTATGACATGATGCCATGCACTGTTTCTGGATGAGAATGCGGTGCTCCAAAAAAGACCCACTTTAGTTTAAGCATGCTAGAAATAGTGGTATTCGCCATAGTAAGTCATTAAGGAAATATTTTCTTTTGAAGAGTCATATTTAATTCAATTCTATCTGAGTTCATGGTAAATTATGTATTGTATGAAATTCTTAACAAAAAGGTACCTATAGATGTGTTTGTGCAGTGAAATAATCATGTGATTACATCTTGGGTTGTATTCCTGTTTTTAATCTAACCAATGGTAGCAGTGAAAGCACAGAATGTTAACAAATATTTCTAACAGGCTGTTATCAGCTGTGCAGAGTTATTTACTATCTTTAAACTCACAGGAATACTTGTGGCAAGGAAATCTTCAGGATGAACATAGGCATACCAGTACTAAAGCCTGGTTCAAAAGGTGCTTTTTGTAGATTTGGGCAGCAGCCTTATGAAAATAAATCTTCTGCTTCCTTTCTCTGACTTAGTTGAACAACTTTAAGGTTTCTTTTAAGGTCTGGCAAGCTTGTTTGTTGTAAAACTTAAAAAAGCTGAAGTGTGAGTGTGTAAGCCTTCTGTTTATCGGAATTCTTCTTCTGTTCGTGATGCTTTGAGCAATGTATTTCTTCTACTCCTTTCATGCTAGCATGGTGCAAAACAATGTTGTTCTCCATATGTTAGGTGCAAGCTCACTGTTTTGATTTTACATGATCTGTGGTATTTTGTTTTACTGTCACAAAGCTGTTTGTGGGAACTTGTGGTCAGGTATGAAGAATGTAATGTTTCTGAAAAAGCTCCTGTCGTTTAGCTTTCAGACTGTTCTGGAAACAAATTCTTCTTTTCTTTTTAGGAAAATGTCATATGAGAATAATTGATTTCTTCTACCTATGGTAGTAATACCAATTAACACTGTGGCTATGCCAGCTACGACAACTTCAATTGTTTGGAATAAGTTGGTGGAGTGGAGATAAACACAGGGTGGATGGCAGGGGGAAAGCTGAAAATTGCTTATGATCAGTTGTAAGGTGTTGTGGTTTGTATATGCTTAGTTTTCTAACAGCTGTAGAGTATTTTAGCAAGTATTAATGCTATATTAAGGCTTTACTTTAAAATCTTTGTAGTTATGTTGGCCATACCTTTTCTAAATATAATCAGCTCTTGAAGGTAAAATTGCCACTCCAAAGAGAAACGGTGAAGAAAAAAATATTCAAATACAGTATGACACACAGTTTCACCTATTGTGTCAGCAAGCCGATAATTACATACAGCTTTTTTTTAAATCTAGCCTTAGGTGTGTCACTGTTTTACTTAAAGAAGAGTCATACTTCTAGCCACAAGCAAATTGTTGCTACCCTTCAAAAATGCAGAACTCAGCATCTTGAAACAAAGTACATAATATCCATTGTGCACTGAATTACACAGCAAAAAATCTGTCTATAAAAGAATACAAACTATTAGATTCTTACAGAAAAATAATAAATTGTTTACCCGAAAGGAAAACTACTGCCTCCTTAAAAACATGTAATGAGTGATTGCGATCCTGAACTGTTTGCTTAGTCTTGTTGCTGGAAATTGCAGATGGTTTATTCTTCATTCACAGCCTCTAACACTGCTGTTTAACTAGCTGGAAGAACACAGATAACGCTGACCGGGGAGCGTAAGTAGCTGGTTGCTGCACAGACTCGAAAGGCAAGGCAGTCACCGTGGTAGAGTAAGCGCACTGGTGGTAACTAGAAGGTGTTGAGTTAAACGGCAGCCGCTTCATGTCTTCCTACTTCATGTCATGGCCTTTGGCACGTGTTAGTGTATCTTGTCAGGAAACTCACCTGGGTACTGAAATATGGAAGAAGTATGCTACTTAAACTGGGTCCTGCCCCACAACCCGTTCAGACTGTGGTACAGTAGTTAAAACTTAAAGCAGAGAGGTGGGTGGTGGGGTTTTATTTTCTTCCTTTTCTTGCCTGCACAGTTGTATCATGGTGTAATGTCATAAAGGGACATAAATAATTCACTTTTGACTAGTGAAAAATCACCTTAAACTGCATGAAATAATACTTTTAAAGTAAAATTTATGACCATGTTTTAAAGAAGAATCTGTCTCCATATTCAGTGATAGCTGTTTCTTCTCTGCTTTCTTAGGAATGTTCTGTTATTAAGTGACAAAATTGTCAGAATATTGAAGTTGCAAACTTAGATTGCTGTACTTCAGAGATCAGCCCTTTTTCTTCCTGACCTTACCACTCTTCTTTTAAGGAGGGGGAAAAAAAAAAAAAGAAAGAAGATAGAGAACACTCATTTGAAATACTTGCCCGAGAGTTTTTCTAATAGTACTTGCTCTTATTTTTACATGTCAGTATTTTTTCCCTATCCATATTTCAACAAGATACACTTACTCACATTTGCTGCTTTATTTTTTTAAAGTCCAGTTAAACTGGTTTCTAAAACCTTGCCTGATCTATTCAAACTACAGGACCACAAAAATAAAATTCTTGGCAAAGTAGATGAAACTTCACTTTTAGTGCCAGATAACCTTACTACGTTTTGAAATACTTGCATGTACTGAAGTTGCTATTCAGGCCTATCTTTATAAAAGGACTACTTGACCGAGAATTCTTTTTTCTCTCCCAGTCTCTACATGCATGGTCTCTTTTTCAAGTTACCTATGAGGAAAGTTAAACATAATTTAATAACTTGGAAATAGGGATAATTTGATTCCTGCCCCCTTGGGTGTGGAAGTTACTGTCTGTGAAGTGGCAGGTGCACACTGAGCAGCTGAGCTGTTTTGTTTAAAACCTAAACAAAAAATAAAAAGGAAAACATGCTTCTACTCTATTATCCACTTATAGTGATTAAATTGTTGCTGGCTATCTTAATTATTTGGAACTGTTGCATAGTCAGAATGTAGTTTAATTTATCTGTCATTCGATGGGGTAGGTAATCAATACAGGAATCGTTATTTGAAAGATCTAATTGCTATCTCCCGTTCAGCAGAATACTAATACAAATGGTGCGTACAGTGTAGGAGTGCAGGCGGCTTTGTCTTCCCTGCGGTGGTGCGTTGTTTTTGAAGAGGGGAAAAAAAAAAAAGGAAGGTGTGGCTATGGATGAATGATGTAGCTTGCTCCAGGGCAAGATTGTCCTGCAGAATTGGGGAAATCTGAAGCGTTGCTTTGAGCTACATCTTGTACCATGATGAAATATTGAGAATAGCTTTCTTCTTTTATGTATTTGAATGTTGCCTTCAGAAGAGAGTTGTGTACCTACTGTGTCTTGCACTTGTGTAAAGTTATTTCCCGCAGGGGCATCATATGTCTTTTTTTTTTTTTTTTCTTTTACTAGCAGGATTTATAACTCTTATTCTAAGTATTTTCATGCTCTTTTTCTATATATGTATTTATTTTAATTTCATTATTTTACCCCAAAACTTTGGGATTGGAGTAACACACTGAACATGGTAGGACGTTGGGTGGCTAGCAGAAAGTATGAGAGCTCGATGTTAGCTGCGATAGAGGGAATGTGAAAGTACGCAGTGTGGAAGTGGGCATGGTCACTGCATTTCTCCTTTTCTACAGACCTTTTCCTTACCTAGATAAGCAGGAGGAATTAAATCTGAGACTGTAGTCTGAAGGGCTTTTTCCCCTAGCAGTGCTGGCTGAAGCAGGCTCTTTGGCTTGCTCCTTCACCTGGGTTGCTGCTGCGGTTGAGAATAGCACAGCTGCATGTGATAAAGTGAATGTGATAGAGAGCTTCTCTAGTTTTAAAAAAGCTAGCAACAGAAAAAATTAATTGAGCCTAGATCTGTTTCCATTGTCCAGCTCACTGTGTAGCCACTCCAGCTGGGGTACTGGCACGACTGAAGAGGTGTGGAACGGGCTGTTTGCAGCAGCACTCACAACAGACTCTGGTCTGACTCTGGTCTCGCCTCCTTTTTTAACTTTCTTGGATTGTTCAAAACTGTTTTGCTTGTGATGATTATTATGCCTTTCCTTCCGTAATGAATAGTAGGGAGGAGAGCGTTCTGTCCTGGTACAAGTTAGACTTTTCCCTTTTTTGGGCTCAGGAAGGAAATTTTGCTTTTGTGCCAAATTGGCAAGAGGTTTGAGAGTTTATTTTTTTTTCTTCCCGCAGCTTCAGGGTGGTATGCTTGAATTAATAGTAGCAAATTCTCAGAGGTTAGCAATAGGATAAGCTTCTTGCTGCTTGTCACTAGTACAGACTAGAAGTACCCACTACAGGTGATAAAGGAAATGCAGGTTTATTGTCTGGTACATCTGGTGCTAATAAGGAGAGGGTAACGTGGTATTTCTGATATTTCTGTGTTCTGATGTCTATCACCTGGCTGGCCTCTGCTCTCTGATTCTTTCTGCCTTGTTGCAGGAAGGAAATGAGATCAGTGCTGGGCCACAGAAGTGAGCTGCTAACATACTGTGAGTCTTTTTAACTTTCTCTGACGGGTCAGTTAAGTAAGTACTTGGGGGAGAGGGGCCGGGATAGAGGAGAAGAGGAGAATTATTAGTTGACTAATAGAATTGGAGCTTGCTTTTTGAAATCCATTTGTGTTTATTGTAAACTTAACCGCTGGTTGTGCATACAGGCTAAATATACCTCAAGGAACTACAAAAGGTATTTCATAGAGACTGCAAGATGCAAAGCCGTTCTTTGCTCTACCTGTTAGTAGTCAGGTGTGGTACATTGCAGGCAAGTCAAGACATGATTCTTTAACTAGCTTAAAAAAAAAAATCCCACTTTGTTTGACATAAACAGTTTCTTTATGTTAGGAAATCCTGGTGGAGTATCACATAAACTCCCACGACAAAGCAGACAGGTGAAGACACCTTAGACATGTTTCATCTTAGGCATGTTGCTTTCCTTGCTAATCCCTGTGTTACAGCAGACTTCTGCCTGCATTTTCAAATAGGAATTAACTTGAAAAAATTATTCGTGTAGTTTGATAAGTTTAAATTAATTCTATTAAAGGATTAACATAAAACATTGACTACAGTATGATTTATAAATATACTGGGGCTACAAGGGCAATGAAAAATTCTAGGGGGTTTTTTGTTTTGTTTTTCTTGAACATGGTATTCAGTTGCAGCACTGAATAACTCAGGTGGCATCACATAGACAGTATGTTGTTTTGCTGATTTTACTTATACAGGTTTGTCTTACGGTAACAGAAGAATAAGAAAAAATGGAAAAGTACCATTTGATTAATAGCTGAAATATTGACCAGAAACTCTTGTTGTGTATAATAACCTGAAACTGTCTTCCATTGTATTTAATAAACCACATTTTTAGTCTAAATATGAAATTCAAAGAGCAGTATATATTCTCCAATGATGGTCTTTTAACATTTCCAGTTTGGACAGATTGCATAATCTTTCAAATCAGAATATTAATATTTAATATGTATGTCCTTACACTCATCCCTAAGTGTATTGATGTTATTTGGGCGACTGTTGGAGACCAGACAATGACATGGAAGGATTCTGGTCTGACCCAGCACAGCTCTTCTGAAATACTCTGTAACACTTAACTTCAGGGTGCCTTTGACACAATGAGGGCAACACTCTGGATTTTCAGCTTCCTGACTTCATGAAGGGTTTTTTTCATGGTTTTGTTTGTTTGCTTGTTTTCTCAGAAGAGAACAATATTGAAATACTGCATAACTGATGAAATAATGTTTTATCTTATTGTCCATATAATGGGAAACATTAGGCAGAAATTTCCTTCTTTTTGCTTTCCAGGATGATTTTAATCCAGTTCCTTAGTTTTGAATGTTCTCATCTATAATTAAAAAATTTATGGGAGCTATTAATATCATTAAAACTATATACTTCTGAAATGTCCTTTTAAAATTTTTAAGTTTCGGTGTATGCCAGAGCAGAAAATTAGCAAACATGGTTTGAAGACGATGTATTTGATCCAGCACTTTTCAGCAGTTAGCCATATATGCTGCTTCCTAATGGGATGCTTCCTAAACATTTGCTCTTCCAATGGCTATCGTTTGGATGACCTTCTTTTGTCTTACAATAACCTAATGTTTTTGTGGCAGAGATGAGTTGCTCATGCAAGTAGCAATAAGAAAGCATTAACTGTCTTTAGAACAATTAGTTGGAGTTTATTTTCATTTCAGTCTTGCTTTCTATCTCTTGTTTTCCTTAATAGAGATAAACTGAAATTACAGAGGCAACACTGGTTGTGCATTTCGGTCAATTTTAACAACACAGTATTCTTCACTGTAAGAAACTGATAGCAACTACCCAGGGAAGTTTGATGTTATCAGTGTAATTAATATCTTTATGCTAAAGCAAAGCTATCTTGGATTTACTTTTCAGGTAGTATTTATTTCCTGTTTTGCCTGGAGTCAATAAATAACGTAATGAAGAGTTTCAGAGTTTGAAAGGAATAATTTTCTACTTAAATGATTCTCCTGAAGTGATGCTTATTTGTCACTGAAGTTAATTGAATGCTGGAGGTGGATTTCTAAAGCTGTAGACTTCGTGTCCTGGGATATATTCTCTCCCTTCTGTTGTGTAGCACATCTTTTAAAAGCAGTCCTTTTGAGGTAGAAGAATTAAACTGTGCAGGGTCACCAGACTTCATGCACAAAGAAATTGATTTGTATAATCAAGCCTCTGTATCTACAGGTCACCTTTTAAAAAAAACTGTTTTGCAATTTATCTTGCAGGTCACTTTTTAGGAGACTTTGCATGTCGTTTTCTGATTTTTGTTACTTACAGGATGTGATTGCTCTTGTAGAGATAGCTGCAAGTTTCCATTGCTTAACTTTTAGTTTTGCTTAAGCTTTGCATAAGAATTGTTGTGCATTTGGGTATTGAGAAACCGTATTTCCAAGTTTTAATTTAAAATTGCACTGTATGAGTCCCCCTGTATGAGTTAGAGATAATAGTTACATCCAAGTTTTAAACTCCTACTGTATTTAAAGTGAAAGCCTTTCTATGCAGTTAAATGTATTTGTATGCTCCTTCAGTTGCTTTGATACAGTAGTGTGGCAGTTGTCTGTTTATACTATGGCAAGTCCACAGCAAGCTAGAGAAACAAGGAAGTACATGCTTTTTTTAGTTTTTAGGCTTGTATTTATAAATAATAAGCTCCTTAGAGGAAATACTGCATGTCTGCTTAGAAGTCTAAACGCTGAAATGATGGCATTACTTCTCATATTTTGGTACTAATACTCAGTATTTTATTTCCTCAGTGCATTGGTTATTGCTGCAGTATTTGATCGTGATGTTAATTGCAGAAGAGCTGCTTCTGTAAGTTATCCATTTCTAGCTTACATGTTTCTGTTATTTTTTGTTTGTTTTCATTTAATAATTTGTAGACGTAGTTATGTAGAACTACAGCATATAAGCAATATATTGTGTTGTGAGCAAAAATTTCCATTTTAAAGTCCTTAACAGTACGACGTGAATTTCGATTTTTAAATTATATAATCCACAGATCCACATCTTGATTTATGGGCACACTTCACAATCGGCTGTATTGTTATCATGATGGTTAAGACAAAGTATCTATTAAAGAGCTATTTAGCATTTTCTAGTTACAAAATCAAAGACAAAAGGGTCATATATAGTATACAAACACTGTATTTTTTTCAAGTCATGAAGCTGGTATGTTTTGTGAAGTTACACTTTTCTAATTGTTCATCAACTGTTACTCTATAATCTATAATTGTGGTTAAGTTGAAAATTTCTAGAATAATATCTCTCCTTCAAACATATATTTTCAGTTATTGTATAAATCTCTTTATGTAGGACTGGGAATTTTTAAAAGGAAGTGATAAATCCATTAGGCGGGTATTCTTATGTAGTTAATAAGACTGACACCAAAGTATATTCTGTGGAGCCTTTCTGTAGAAAATATTTATGCTGTTGAGAATTGAAAAGAATGCATGATTGTTCTTGAGAGAAGGGAATTTATGGAGGAGAGGTTATAGAATTTGAGAAGAAGAAAGAATGGACATCTTTCATTGAGAATTTAAGTCAGTGTGTTGGATATATTGAACTTGATTTCTTAAAAAAAAAAAAGAAGTATGAGTTGTCTGTTTCGACAGGTAAAACAAATTATCTTGCACAAATGTAAAATAACCCACCCTATAACTGTATTATCTCAAACATGGACCAAACAATGTCTGTCAAAGAACCAGGTGTCTCCCTAAGAATAAACTTCACTGTGAATGCATTTAAAAAAAAGGCAGTCTTTACAAAATGCAAATTAATTAACAGGTCTTATTTTTTGACTGAGCTTTTGAAAGCTAATGTATTTATAACATAAGAAGGATTTCTCAGGGATACCTGGATAGCATCCTTATTTCTTCTAGCCACACCTCTGCTTGAGAGTTAAGTTGTTGAATGAAGCTGCAGCATAATTGCTGGGAAGTGAGTCAGTTACTTGTGTAATCCTATCACAAATCACTTTGTCTAAATAGGTTAAAACCAAAGCATGGAAGCTAAGGTGCTGTAGATTGCTGAGTACTGATACAACATATTCTTCACATACTGTACAACTAATGAATATGAGCAATGCTACTTTCCCACAAACTTCAACTCCTAAATTTTAGAAACTGTAGAATTTGGTATTCTTGTCTAATTTAAGTCACTTTATTCAAATAAAATCCTTACAGGAAAAATAAAGGTAGCTTTGCTTTCCTGAGAACTGCACAGAACATTAAGGAGTATAGAAGGTGAAAAGTTTTATTATTTATTTGCTCTGTAGGAGTTGTCCTAAGAATCAGTGGTCATACATATAGAGGAGAATTCTTTTTTACATGATTGCCACTACAAGTGTACTGCTTACCTTTGGTAGCTTGATGTCATTGTCATGTGTAATCTTTGTTATGTTTCTATGCTTAAACATAAACGGATAGTTTGACCATGAAATACCGTGCGAAACTGGATACATTTACTAATGCTATAAGCTTAGTGCACATTGTGCTTCTGTATTTCAAATGAGTACAAAATACAGTACACTTTCTTCTCACTTTCCTCTTTTATTTAAACAAAGTTATTGAGCATTCTGCAATTCAGTTACCTCCAATCATATTAATTTTTTCATTAGTACATTCTAATTTAGAGCTTGTCAAAATTTGGACTTGCTGTTTTGATGGATAGTTATGAAAGTACTGAAACCTGTTTTCCTATTTTAGAAAGGCAAGCAAAGAAATATTTTGTGTTTACCAGGCATTACTACAATTTTGAAGAAAAATACCTGGGAGTCCTAGTTATTTCCAATCATTACTACAGTTAAATACATATTTAAATAAACAACATGTTTTACTCGATTTTCCATCTATTACAATATGCAATATATTACAATGCAGAGCACCAATAAAACAAAATAGCATGTAGAGATATTTTGAACCCTGAGGTTAGAGAGAATAAAACAAGACTGTTCTTTTGAAGCTCCCAGAGCATTCTGAGCTGACTTTTGCAACTCCTTCATGAATAATCATTATAAGGAATAAACACATGAATAAGTGATCTCGGACTGGGCTCCATTCAGCGCTGACATGTTAAAGAGAGGGGTTTTTTTCTTCCGCTTGGTAGGTTGGTTGTTTTTAAAATCATGACTTAGAGAACGTTTTAGTATTTTTGCAGGTTTTGTGGGAACAGCAAAGTATTCAGGTTAGAAGGCTAGTTGGTCATCTTGGTTCTGATATCACGGAATCTTTAAATGAAGATCTTTGCATCCAATTTTTCCATCTTCAGAAGGGGATTGTATGAAAAATTAAAAATTATTATTACAAAACAATTGAAGTATTTGGCATATTTTAGGCATGTGCACTTGTTTGAAAGTATGATTGCGAGAGTAACATTTTCAGTTATTGAAAATCTCCTAGGTATTATGAAGAAAAATCTTTTGTGAAACAATAAAAAAACGCTAAAGGAACAAGGAGGGAATTCTGTGAACATTAAATGAGCTCTAGGAAATTGCCTTTTCATTTGGATGAACAATATGTTTCATTATTTTCCTATTTCTATTTTACTTTCTCTCACAAAGCTTTAACAGGATAATATTGGGGGTATGGTTTTCCTTGTAACTTTCTCAGTGCAACATACTCCTTCACACGCAGGAAAAATGATTTACTGTGTCACAATTTTGTTGCTAAAGTTTGGTTTAGATGCTGTTCTTGTAGAACAGTAATGCGTTTAAGTTGTCACAGCTGGAATGTGCATTGTCTACAAAGCCTTTCTAAATCAAGTTTTCCAAATATAACTCTAAACACTGGTGTTCTGTTTTTACCTTCCTTTGAGGGCTTTTTCTGGTTTTGTTTGAATATCTTGATTCTCATTGTAAATTTCCCTATAACTGGCTGAAAACTTACTTGCTGAAGAGACAGTTTTTAGCTTTCTTTTTATAATGTACAGTGACAACGCTGAAGCTAAGAGAAGTTTGTGGTGATGCATACGAACCTCCTTCAACCTCAGCAACCAGCTGTGAAACAAATTGCTATACAGTTTTAGTCTGCAACTGGAAAATTTTTGAGCTACTGAGCTATGTATACAGGAATTTGCTAGTTACCATATTTCTCTTCATACTTTTATGAATAGTAAATTCATATTGCAAGTGTGAGAATCTATAACAAACTGATTATTTTTCTCCAGGGCTATTAAATTGAAATAATTGACAAATATATTTATAGTAAGACAATACTAATATTATCCTTGTAAGCAGTGGTTAAAGTTCTATGATTTTTATAGATAATCAGTTAGGTGTAAATTAACATGTAATTTAGATGCTTAGAATACATCAGATGAATGCTAAGTATTTTTACCGTGCTGCTGGACTGTTTATTAGATCTTCATGATTGTTTTTCTAAGTAAGTTACAAAATAAAATGGGGATACAGCAGTGGAATTTTAGAATTCCTACATTAAGTAAACAAACCATGGGAAATCTTTATGTACAACAGCTGTTTTGCTGCAACATTGTCTATAGGCCCCTGTACATCTTTTTCCAATGATTTTGCCACAGTATATTTCAGTCCTGGGCCTATGGATTGTAAGTAGAATAAAGTAGTATGGTATTGTAAGTAGAATAAAACTTTCATTGGTTTGAGGTGAGGTTTACATTGTTTGGATATCAAAGTTTATGATTTAAAAAGAAGGAAAAAAAAAAAAGCTTTATAGATTTTTGTATCAGTAAGGCACTTGTCTGAGCAGTACATTTTTAAAAGAAATTATAGTGCAGTGATTAAACTATTAAATCCTTTGGCTATGATAGTTGAGAGCATCATCCTTGCTGAAACCTCCCTATGCTGAGTAAAAGGGTCTCAGTAGCATAAAAGGGGATCTAAAGCTAACAAGTATGTAAAAAGAAAGAAACGATGCAGGCTGACATGAAATGACGTCCTGGCACATCCTGGCTGGGAGCATACGTTGGTAGAGAGGTAAGGAGTGAAAACACCCCACGTCAGAAGCTGGACTGCATCATACGGTAGGGAATGCGCGTAGGGCATTGCTACAGCTCCTGCTCCTCTTCTGGAAGGCTGCTTTCTGCGTTGCCCAAGGGTGTATCTACGCTGCCGCCACTGCGGAGGATAGCCCATGCGGTTCTGCCGGAGGCAGTCCTAAACTGGTTAGCTCGGGGCCACTGCTGGCAGCGTGGCTGCAACTGCCAGCAGGCTAAGGTGGGCTCCCAAACCCGCCGAGGTGGTGGGTAAGTGGTTTAGAGTCAGCCTGTGCTACGTGTCCTGCGATGGATATGCTGCAAGCAGGAGCTGAACTAGCCTGGGCAAGTCTACAGGAACTGCAGTCATTATCCTAAACAGACATAACCTCAGAAATGCACGGAGAGACGGTGGCTTCATTAGGGCTTGCTTCACCTGTGTTCTGAGAGTGCTTGCCCCATATGTAGAGTATGATAGCTCGGTGAGCTAACTTCACCTTTTGTTTTTACAGGTGGATTACCACATGCATACTGTATTTATGTAGGAAATACAGAAGCTCTGTCTGTCAAAGTTCTTGTGGCATTTTCAGTCAAGATTGGGACTTCCCTCTGTATGTTAAATATCAGTTAATTGTCAGATGACAAGTGCTGTCCATCACTGGAGATTTGTTTGTAGATAGAGTGACATTCCCTAAGAGAAGTGTCCAGATAATGATGATCTCTCTGAAAAAAGTTAAAATTTCCAGAAATTTTTATTAGTACTTAGGTTTGTATATCCTTTTAATGAACAAGAAATAACAGGCTGCTTTGAGAGAGGGAGAAAATTCAAGTAGGGAATTAAGTAGGTTTTATTCTGTATACCATACAAGTAGAGAGATTAACTTTATGGTTGTATTTGTTGCATTTTGTAAGATTTTGAGAGTTTTTTAATGCAAAACACGAGAAACGTACACGAATTTTGTCTTCTGGTTTTATATTTTCAGTGTTGCGGCATGCTTTCAGATGTGTAGCTTTCAAATATATATTACATTCTCGCTATTTTTTGTCTGAAGTTTTCATTACCAAAGAATCAAACTTTGCCTACTATTAGCAAATTATGTTGAAGAAGTCAGAAAAAAGTGAGCCGTCTCAATTTCTGTTGTCTACAGGTATTGACTTTCAATTCCAGTGCGAAGCCTTGTGTCCCTACTCAAAAGCCCTCTTGTGGGTGCGACTAGTTTAATAAACTCACATTCTTAAACTGTCATGCAACATACAGCTTTAAGAACACCAGAACATAGAGACGTAGAAACAGAAAAGCCCTGTGGGCTTGTTCTACCGACAAAGCTTACTTTATTTAAAAAAGAAAAGCCATGGGTCATTTATATTGTTGTGTGTTTTGAATTCATCATCTGGTGTTTATCAAAAAGCAAACCTGACTCGTTTTGGTATGTTTGTTCTCTGTTCCTTAGGCTGCCTTCCAGGAGAATGTTGGGAGACAGGTATGGTAACTTTCCTGAATCTTCATTCATTAGTGCCTTGGAGGTTACTGTAAACGTGTAGTACCTAAAATCAAAATCAGACGCTGTGGCTTCGGAGAAATTGAGTAAAAGGATGTCACAAAATAATTATTTTCCTAATCGGCAAACAGGTTCTTGTGGAATACTTTTTTGAGATGTGAATTTTATTTTAGTATTCTACTTTTGGAAGAAAATGAGCTTCCTGGTAATTTTTAGTCATTCTGAAAAGCAAAATCGGCACGTATGATGGCCATTATACAGCTTGCATACTGGAATGCACTTACAGCAGGAAAAGTGTGATTTTTTGGTTATTTTTTTGTTTCATTGACTTTCTAGTTTTTAATAAAACCCCTGCAGTGTGCTGCACAACCTTTGCTGTGGTTGGTGATACAACAACAAACTGGACTTAAGAGTCTTCAACTCAATATTTGGTTTTGCCTGTTGTACCATAATGCTGCCATGTAGATACTTTTGAGAAATCTGTTACTTTTGGAGATACCGAAGTGCTTTGAAAAAAAACTATTGTGGTAGGTTCCTATGTAACTTAGAAACATTTAAGTAGTTAAAATGTTCAAACAACTTTGATTTGCAACCTTGGAGGAAAAGGAAATAGGGTAAAGACTTGTATTTCAAAGTTTCCTGGTTTCTCATCAGGAATTAACAAAGCTGAATAGACAACTTTTAGAGGAAAAAAAGGCGAGGGGGGGGAAAAGGTTCAGTTACTGAGTTCTTGTGACAGAGTAGGATATGTGAGCATGGTTAAAGCAAATTTTGTTATCAATAAGCTGTTCTTTAAGCGATTTTTGTTAAAATGCTGTCTGGCTTTCCCTGATACCATTCCTGAAGACCTCTGTGTTAATGAGCTGGCTTATTTTTCCTTTAGAGCTATGGGTATTAAGTAACGTGTCCGTAACTGGTGTGTGTATTTCTAGACAGAATTAGGTTAATAGCAGAGAAAGGGTGCAAGAAGACTAGGAGGAAGAAGGCAGGTATTTTTGGTGACCTGACCCAGCTAGGTCTGTGATAAGTAGAAGCCAGTGTGATTCTTCCCCAGGTCTGTAGCTACTGCCCTGGAGAGGCTGGTTAGTCATCACACAGCAACTCAGCCTGATTGCACTTCGTGAGGTACTGAGTGAAGTAAACACCTTACTGTGACTTCAGTTCCAGGTGAGATAGGGCTCCTGGGTACTGCAGGTTTCAAAATGCTTCCATGTAGCAAAGGTTTTGTGGAGTTTTTTATTTCTCAATCAGAGCGGTACAGTCTGAGTTAGTTTACAGCCGGAAAGTTTGTTTACTGATTCTGCTTTGACACAGGATTCAAATTCGTCAGTGTTGGTAGAACGCACAACAATTTTAGCTTATATGCCAGCACGTTAAAGAGGAGTTTGCAGTGAAATAGTAAGTTTTCATGTCATGAAGAACAGTATCATTTTCCAGTTGGTTCCTGTAGAAGTTCAGATGTTTTACTTACTGAACCATTTCTTACTGCTTAGGAAAATGGTTACTTAATCAGTGGATACACCCTCTGTAGTTCTTTACCTGGGTGTAATGTGTTGAGACAGTCACCCTTTCTCTGAATTGGATGGAGCTAAAACATATTCTCCATCTGAAGTAACAGTGCTGATACTAAATAGGTGGAGAAGAAAGTTGACCTTGCTTACCTTCTTGGTTCCTGCCTGCATTACCTCTGCAATTCAGCGTGTCCTGAATCCGAGAGCTTGCTTTTATGGCCTCACAAAAAGAAGGCATTGTAACTTCCGCTTCACGTAAATGAAAACGTGGGAAACTTTGAAGAATTTTTTAAAAACATAAAGCATGAGAAATGCACTTACTTCTAATAAGACAAACTTATATATTGGGGAAGTAAGTTTTAGGTGTTCTGACAGAATAGAAACTGTTAGCTTTTCCTCTGAAGTCTGTCTCTCCCATCGGCCATGACCTCTGTACTTGTGAACTCGGTGTCAGGAATTTTGCTGTCTCACTGACATGCACTGAGGCACCATGACCTTCGGTGAGATGGCATCAAATCGGCACAGTTACAGCCAAGTAATAAATAGCAAGGTCCAACCAGCAGCTAGAATTGACATTGTTTAGCAGTGGTTTTCCTTATGTACAGTATGCATTCTTATATATTTCATTGTGTGTCTTGTTGTTTGGCTATAAATCATACTGAGGTATTTCTCATGTGTACATTTTTCTCCCTAATCAGTGTTTCATTAGGCTTTTGAGGAGTGCATTCATTTTACCTTTGAGTTATTAGGGCTTGCAGGTAGTCTCTTGGAAAAGCCATAAATATTCTGTCTGTCCTTGGGTCAGCCAGATTCCAGGCCTTGTTTTTTTGGACTGTTGTCCTTACATTTCCCGGAATAAGACCTCCGCAGTAGCAGACAGCTTCCCACTGCTTGCAGTATATACTTCTTTAATTATTCAGGCTTAGATCTAGAGATATTTTCTACTATTTTTGTACGGCTGTATCCTAATGTGGAAGGGATGAGTGAGCTGTAAACAAACAAAACTGTATCATATCCAGAACCCGTACTTCCACATAGCCTTATTGCTTAAATATCATATGATTGTCCCTTTTGTAAGGGAGCACAGTGCCCTTCAGTTGGCTGTTTTCCATTTGTACTTAATTATGGCTTGTGGAGGCTGTGCTGCCGCCTCCGTTCCGAAACACAGCCTTGCTGCCTAATACCATATTAAATCATAGCCAATCAAAATTCTGAATATCTGCATTGTATTGCTTACATAAAAAGGCGAATTTTTAGGTGGCAGTTGCGTATTTAGAAAGATAATTTATCTTCTAAACCCAGGATTTTTTCAGCAGTGATGTCAGAAGTCTGATGCTTCTGTAGGATTCAATGTTTCAGGCTTTGCTAGGAAGCAGTGTTCTTTTTAAAAAGAAATTAACCTCAATTTTTTAGTTTGTAATAAATAAGTCATAAAATATATCTGTGAGTAGAAACAAATAGAAGTAATTGAACTGCCATGTATTCTCTATGTGATGCGTTTCTTGGTGCCTAAATCTCTAATTTTATACTTCGTAAGACTTGCAGCAGATACTTGTTCCCTCACATAAACGGAAAACATGTTTACATTTATCTAAGCCTTCTTTTAGAGAAATCATGTTTTGTGTACATACATAGTCATGCATTCACCAAATACATATTTGTATATGACTTAAAGGTGTTAAGATAGCTATTGCATAGTTTATTACCTGCTGCTATTTACTTTGTTTATCATTGACTCATAAGGGAAGCTAGATATTTTGCTGTTTATATGTCCAACATCCTTTATATCTTTAATATAAGTGATTTAAGTATCAATTAGAAATTAAATTGTATTTTTTCAGTGCTTAGACAGTAGTAGGATATTTGTTTTCAATAATGTTGCCTATTTTGAAAATATTTTACATTTTTAAACAGTATTTTCTTGTGTTTTCCTTCTTCCTTGTGATGTTTGTAGGGCACTTTTCCACATGGTATAGACATTCTAACTGCAGCTGATTATTTTGCTGTTGGTAACAGAGTTAACTGTTATCTGACTATAAGGTAAGTTTCAAAGCATTAGTTTTCCTAAACATGAGGGACCTCTTTTACATAATGAAATATTTGTCCGATTGTTTCACTTTACTGAACATTATGTTTATTACTGTTGTTTTGGAATAAATTAAAATTTGATTTCTCTTATTTCTGCATCAAACCGCTTATTATGCGTAAGACATGGTGAAAAAGTAACCGTGATTTCCTTGTCTACGTGGAGGAATCGGCCCAGAGGCAATATTTGCAGGTGTCGCAAAACTGTCTAAGATGGTCAAGATTAGAGAAGACTAGGGGATTTTGAAGAGGTGTAGTAAAAGGAGAGGCTGTTATGATGGCAGACAGACTCTGATGTGGGTAAAACAACGAACTAATACCCATTTAAAAACATATTTAGCACAAGCTGCTGAATGCGTGGTCTGTGCATAGAGCTTTTACTTGAGTGCTTGTATTTTTTGTAGGTAGCTCAGTGAAAATCTAACCGCAGTATGCAGCAGTGTTTGAAAAAACAAACTGATCGCTGTAGTATGGAGTCTGCAAAGAATGTAATGGGAAATACCAAGACTGGTGCGGCATTGCTATAAATCAGTGGCTTGTCTTGGAATACTGTGTTCTGTTCTGGTCAGCTATCTGAAAGTACAATAAAGCCAAAGTCAGGGGAATTCAGAAGCAAGCTAGGTGCACAGGATGACTAAAATGAACGTTAAGATTGCACTTCCTCTTGAGAAGATGAAAAAGACTGAGGTCTTTTTCTGGGCTGGGTTCTAGCTTTATTTGTCTAAGACAGACAGTCTAGCCTTGGTGTCTAGCCTCCCTCCATAGCCAATGGAAAGAGACAGGCTCCTACAGAAAGTGACTCACACCATTTTAAGATAGGGCAGATAAATTGCCCTATGGAGTTGCATGATGCTGGTAAGCCAACAGCTTAGAAAGGCTTGAAGAGATTATATTCTTGAGGAACAGAAATAGCAAACAGGTATATGATGGTTTATGCTCCATTGCCAACTTTGTGATTTCCCATGAGCAGTTTTTAAAGATAATTCGCACTGGAACTCTCTATCCTCTCCTTGACTACTTTTTTAATTCATCTGTCCACCTCCATATTGTCCCTTTTGTGCAGAATCATTTCAGTCTGTACATAGCTTCACCTTTTACCGACTATCATTCCTTCTGGGGTCCACACCCTCCTCCTACACTCTTCCCCAGAGCTCCCGCCTACTGAGCTGAGATGGGGAAATGCAGTGGCTTGGTACTCGCTGGTGCTCTAGATCCGTATAGCGTCAATGTAATTTTTGAAACGCTGGCTTTTTGTACTAATAGAAGATTGAGAATATTAAAAATTGACAAAGCAGATTTTGTTTTCTCTCTCTTATAATTTTGGCTTGGACACTAGTTATGTTCTCCTTTTTGAGACCTGAATTGTTAATTTATTATCCTTTTTCAAATGCTCATTTATTACTCCTTTAATTTCCATTTTTTTCATAAGTGTTATTTATCTAAGTGAAAACATTTTTACTGTTGATTTCTTTCTTCCACTCTTGTGCCTTACTTTAAATTGTGCAACAGAAAGAATAAAACTGTAAATGCTTTATAAATAATCTCATGCAGTTAGTAGCATGATTGCTTGAAACCATGTTCAGTGTTACTAATCAAACTCTTCTTTGTAAAGTATTTGTCATCTCATTCATTATATTACTTTTAAAAATCTTCACCACTTTGCTCGTCAAGCAGGATGTAATTATTTGGGTCAATACTTAATTATTTCCTTATTTTTGTCTGAGTAACATCAAAGGAAAAGTACATAAGCATATATTTGACTGCACAGAAAACATGTATCATTATGATGTGGTAGGAAGAATGTACCTTTCTGATAGGTATGCCTTAAGGTGGTGTAATTGTTTATGTAGCTGGAAAAAGCTGCTTGAGGTTCATATTCCAGATCTGGAATCTTTAGCTGTCCTTCCCCCACCCAGATAAAACAGTCCTGGGACACTTTGTATGAGGGCACAATACCGCTATGTAAAGGAAGCTCTGCAGGTGTGAAGGTCTATGCTACTAGATTCCTTTGAGTAATAAAAGCTCGAAAAGATGTGTCAATATCTACAGATGGATTTGATTTTGGTTAATAAATGATGATATATTCTTATTACCGTGTGTATTTTTATGTCATTGCTTTTATTCTTTCAAATCTGAATATTTTTATGCAAGTTTTTCACTCTGGGTGCCCTTTCGAAACTTTTTGCTGATGTTCTTTGGAGGATTCAGCTCAGATATCATAATCTATTTCTGAGGGTGGAAGGTAGAGGAAACCCATTTTGTGTGAACTGGGAATAAAGAGATTATGTGATTCAAGATGTTCTGGGCTTGGTAAAAGCAGAGTTAAGAAAGAAGCTTCTTAATGTAAGTAGAGTGGGATACACAAATCTTACCAGCAACATTATCAGGAAAGCTAGACTTGTACCCAGGGCTACTTGCATTAAATACTCAGTAGGGTATAAAAGATGAGGACTGTAGTTAAATATAGTTATAAACTAAAAGTGAAAGTTGGATTTGGCTACAGACGTGGCCCAGGAGATCAACTTCGAGCTGGGCAGAGAAGTTCAGATTAAAATAGCTGGAAAGACTGGTGAGTGCTAAAACTAGGACCCAAAAACCAACTATAAAGACAAGAGGAGAACTCAAATATGGGAGGGGAAGTGTGTTTATTAGTGTATGTTCTTCCAGAACAGGGAAGAAGAAGGAACCAACTGTCTAATCCCCCTCTAGGGCTCATAGCAGTAGTAGGTAGTACTTCAGTAATCCTGTATTGGCTCAAGTGACTGAGGTCTGTGCTGTGGATTTAAGGATTCTTACTCTTCTGATGAATTACATAGATATCAGTATGGTAACATGCAACAGTATTTGGTTTTTATCTTTGTTTTGATTCTCATTACACACACATATATTAATGGAACACTATTACGGTTGCAAAGTTAATCACTCAAAAGATATGAAAAGGTGAAATTAAGGTAATTCATGTCGCCTTAATTTCATCCCTTTGTGCATACCCTTTTCACACAAAGACATTCTACTGATTTTTTAGCTTTCCAAGATTATTTAACATACATCAGATGTACTGAAAAAACATTTTGCTTAACTTCTGTTGACCTTAGCTTTCAATAGTTGATGCTTGTGAAGATTGGAAAGCAAGTGTGGCTGTGGAGTTAGGTAATTATGCAGGATACCTAGCTAATTAATTCTGGTGTTCCCTTACGTTTTAGGTCTTAACTTTGCAGCTTAAACATTTTTTGTCAGAATTGACTTCTCGTGTATGTTTGATTTTTAAAAAGGACAAATTGAAACCCCATATTCAATTTTGGACCATTGTATTTATGAAGATGTAGCACATTTCTATAACTTAATGTTACTGTGTACGGTGGGTTGCATCATTAACATGCTTCTCCAGTCTGAAATAGTTGTGTCAGTAAATACACACATCTACATTTGCTAGAATGTAACCATGGGAATTGAATGTTTATTTTTTATTTTCGTCGTTGTGAAGCTTTTTGTATGTATAGCAGCTTTTGTAGAGAATCTGAAGGAGTTTTAGAAAAGTGATTTAATTTTTTTCAATAATTGTCAGATATTTCCTATTGTATTATTTCATTCAGTTGCATCTCATTTAGGAGAAGGCATGTTTAAGTAATTTTTTTGGTTGCTTTAAAACTCGAGGATGTAAATCTTTGGAGTAGCTTGTGTTAAAATGCACACAGATGTTGATTCTGTATTCTCTCTATATGGACATTTCTTTTTCAGTGTGTATATTGCTGGCTTTCCTGAGTACACACAGCCAATGATTGATCATTTAGTTAACATGAAGATTAACCACTGGGATAGGTAAGTTCATAAAGCCTAATTATTAATATCCAGAAATTGACTGTTCTGCATATCATGCTTTCCTAGATTATTTTTGTAAATTTTACTTATACTAGAGTTTGCAATAGCATTTGACTGAAGGAAACTGGACGAGTAGTAGCTGATGTCATCTGTACCTACCTAGCATATTGTCACTTAAAACATGTTTATGAATTTTGTCTTTTTGCCCTGACCTCAATCTGTTAATAGATTAATAAAACACATTTATATGGTATATAGTATATGTGAGGGGTAAACACCATCACCGTACAATTACCATAATTAAAGTAGATTTCATGCATAGAGATGGTGCTTAGTCATATTCAGGGTTCCTGAAGATTAAAATGTGCACATATAACACAAATGAGATTATATCAGTGCTGATAATACTTTGCATCATGAGAAATAATAATAGTTTACTGTACTGTCCCTGCCAATGCACAGAATGAGCCCTCAGGTTCTGCCATCCTCACGTACATTTTTCTTTGTCTCTTTCAGCAATAAGTTCTATTCATATAGCTAAAAGCTAGCTGTAGGCTGTCTGTTTGGTCCACTGTTTTGTCTTGTTGTCTTTTTTTGTGGGGGGGGAAGCATAGGATGGACAGAGAATACTGTAATTTTTAATATTGCTGCGGTCTTTTATTTTGTTCAGGGACAGGAGTCCCTTCCTGACATTTTTTTTTAAATACATTATTTCTACTAAATTACTAACCCCCCAAAAATCTAAAAATGCTTTTTTACATCTTCAGTGTTATTCGAGAACTTTCAACCAAAGCTCTGCATAACCTTACTCCTCGGGCTCCTGAATACATGGCAGATGTGGGTAGGTAACAAATAAGTTCTGCACAGCGTGCCATATCAAGTGTTCTAGCTTTATGTAGCAAAAATATATTAAGAAGACTTAAACATGCTCCATGACTTAATAAAAATTAAGATTTCCCCTGCAGCTTAATACAGTGCAGTGACACTGATAGCTTTGCCAGTTTTCAGATTTTATGCAAAAATTATAAAATACTCCCAGATCTTTTTCTGTCTGGGGACTGGACTTTAGTTACCTGGCTACACTGGACCCTACCAGTTCTGAGATGAATAACTGGGTGTAGTTCTGTTGCAACAATTCCGGGAGCTAGCCCTCAAATTCCTAGCTTTTGTTTTGTTGATACGGCTTTGATGCCGTAAAGGGTGGGGGGATCTGTTTTGTCTTGTCCAGTCTGACATCTTCAGAAGAATTCCTTTTTGACTGTTGTGTGTGTAACCAAATGTTTCTTAGCATGAATTCAGCATCCTTTGCTCGGCCCACTCAAGATTCTGAGAATGTACTGGCTGCTTTTTCATATGGCTGAAAGACAGCAGCTGACACTCAGGTGAATCTGTAGTTACAGATCTTACCTGGGCTCCCAGTAGTGGACTAGGAAGATGGCAGTTCACATGGGAGTAAAACTCCATGGAAGTACAAGCCTCATTTCCCTTACCGTTCAGACAGCCCAGTGCCTAACAGCAAGTATATTATTTTGTTTATTCCAAACAGGGAGCTAGCTGTGAGTACAAAATTGGTCTTGGTGTCGTTTAGTATGCTTTGTCAGAATTTTGCTTCTATTTTTAAAGCTTGGATTTCAGGATATTTTGGCCTGACTCTCCAGAAATGGTTTTCCCATGTTATTTCTAGGCAGACATGTTTACATTTCAAACTGTGATCTGTCATTATGCTTTGTTTAAAAAAAAAAAAAATTTAATCTCTTTCAGTTTTGCCGAGACTTCTGCCTTTATCAGTGGGCACAGATCTGCACACACGCCATGGGGCAATTCTTGCCTGTGCTGAGATCACCCATGCACTGTGTAAGCTAGCAGGAGAGAATAATAGGTATAAATGCAAGATTATCTTGACTATAAATTTTTCTTTCATGTCTGGTCTATTGAAAGCTTCCTGAGTATAATTATGGAAATCTCCATCTTACTGAACTTCTTTTCCCTTGAATTTTTGTTTGTTTTGATCAGTCATGCCAAGCCTTCACATTTTATTCAGTGACGTTCTAAACTTAAGTCTGATTTCATCATCAGGAAAGTGAGATCATTTGCTGCCTTACTTGGAGAGTTCAAAGTTATCATTTAAATATAGGTTAAACCCCCTTTCCCCATAAGTATGATGTCTTTCTGGTGAGGGGACAGTCTTTTGTCTTCAGTGTTAGAGAAGTAGCTCCTCAAGTAGCTGGTTGAGTTGGACTGATTTAATTGTTGCTGCTGAACACTGGTCCATATATATATGTGTGTGTGTAAACACACGTGTGTTACAAATAGTTGATGTAGTGAGAATAATTGACAAAACTATTTGGAGATGTCTCTGCTTTAATGGGATTAAAGAGATGAGTCATTCACCTTTTGTTTCACAAGAATCACTTGTGAAAAATGGTCAAAAAATCTTAATTGTAAAGACTAGAATTTGGAAGTTATGTTAGCACTAGAATTTTCTACTAGCATGACTTAAACTGGGATGAGCCACTGTTTAAGGTCAAGGCAATGGAAAATAAGAGTCCAGAGTGCAAACTTCACTGAAAATAAATACAGTTCTGCAGGAGTCATAAATACATCTACACAAAAGAAACATGTTTTAAAAAAACAGGCAGAGTTTCTGAGTAATTTTGGTTCTAAAAGTTGGATAATTACTCTCTGGTTAACCTTTTTCATTTTACTTCTGAGAACATTCTGATGCAGTCATACAAAGGTATCTAAAGCGCTGACATACGATGTTTAACGTCATTGTACAAGCGAAAGATACTGAGATGAAATCAGTAACATATCAAAAGCATGCACTGATTTTTATGGCTTTAATTATTGACAAATAGGAATTGTATTTGCTGGCAGTTTCTATCAAAGAATTTCTGTTAATCTTAAGAGTTCCTTTTCAAATAAGTGGAAAAGTTAGACACACAGATGCAGAGCATTTTTAGTAGTGGGATACTTGGAGTTGATGGAAAAATCACAGAAGTTTTGGAGTCCAAAAATACAACTGAGCTGAGAAGGGTCACTGGTATATTACTGATTATAATGTTATTAGTAAGTGACGCTAAGTTTTTATAGTCCTTTAAGACCGAGTTTGCTACATGATAAGGAAAGAACTTACTATGTTTGCTGGACTATTTAAACTTAAATATTGTGTATTTCTGTTGAGCATAATTTAGAAATCAAATGTTTTTCTGTTTGAAAGTACAGTGAAGTCATGGAAAAAAAATTACTTAGAGCATGATTAGGAAACGAGTCTTAAAAATTTTTTATACCTTTACAGATCTATAACATATTATTTCAATGAAAAATCATTGGAGGGACTGAAGCAAATCCATCAAGAGGTTTGTAGAGAGTATAAATGTGTCTTTTAATCTGGTATTTTGTATTCTTTTTAAACAAACATTTACAATTAAGACAGCTGTTCTCCACCCTCCACTTCCCCTTGCCGAAAGTAGGGAGTCTCACAAAGACAGGTTTGGACGCACACTCCAGACAGTCTGATAGCTGGATGTCCTTGACCCTGTGTTTTACTCCAGTATAATTTTGTATTTGGTCCCTTTCTGTTCTGTCAGCTTCTTAGCTAAGCCACTTCCTCTGATGTGTTACACTTCTGAAATACTGCATGGTGTTTTGCTTTGTTTTTCTTCCCCTTCTGTTTCTTCTCCCTTTCTGTACCTACTGACTGGCCTTGCAGATAGATGTGTGGCTGTTGCCTTAATGTGCCCAGGCTCAAGAGAGATCTCCTAGTGGGTCCATTCTCTGTCTTTTCTATCCTTTCTTTTTTTACTTTAGTGTGATTTCATTGATAAATCCTTGCATCCATAATTTACCTAGCCCTTGAAAGTCATATTCTGTATTTCAACTGAGGGATTGAATTTGTCTCTACTTAGGACAAATTGAAGTCTTGTCCTGTGTATAGCAATTTAAAATGCTTCTATGGAGACAATTTTACCTAATTTGTCCCTTCAATTTTAAGTCATCCCATGCTGTTGTTTTTTTTCTTTTGGCTCCTATTTCTTCACCTTATGGAACAGACAATACTTCAGTGTTCAGGCTCCTACTCGTTTTCTGCAGTACCTTTAGTCCCAGTTCTGATGTTAGGCTTCACCATTTACCCATTATGCTTTAAAGTACATAGGTGCTTCCTTAATGCTTCTGTGCATTAAGCTTAAGCTGCTGCTAGAGGTTGAAAAAGCATTTGTCCTTGTTTAACTTTCTTATGTTGAAAAGCCTGAAAGCCTGATCAGTAGTATCTGTATTGTTATAATTTTTTATGATAGTTTCCAGTTTCTGTTGTCTGTTGTTATAATTAATCTGCAAGGTTGGTGTAAACTCTTTCTTTTTAAAAATCTGGGGTTTCTGTGTTTTTACTACATAGAAATTTGATAATCTCTGATTTTTTGGGGTGGCCTATTCTAATACTAACAATGAGATAAGATTTCTTCAGTCACATTTGAACTTCTGTTTAAGTTTTTCCTGTTTAATCTGTAGCTAACAAAGTTATTTTCATTTTCCAGCCAATGCAGTGTATCATCATTTTAAAAGGGCCAGCTATGGAAAGCAAATGTTTTTTAAAAAGCCAGACTAGCTTCCAGGGTACATGCAGGAGCAGCTAAGATTTGGAATTAAGAAAGTTAGTGCTTTATGAATCTGCTAAATTGATTTATTTTTTTTAATGGAAAATTCAAATGGATATAGAGAGGTTTTTAAAAAATATTTTTCCTTTTAATTTTATTTTTAAAATAGTCCAAAGCGTTGCATAGTTAACAGTATATAGACATTGCACATGAGAAGGAAAAGTAAAAACAGTTGTATCAAACAAACTGCTAATATTTTTTTGGTTGCTTCCCCTCCCCCCCCCAGCTTTGCAGTCGTCAATTGTACAGGTAAGAAAATGGATGCAAAAAAATTATTTTTCATATTGGAAAGTATCATTTAGAAGTAACGAATATGGTAGGATCCTAGGGTTTTGGGTTTTTTGTTGCTTGTACAAGTTAGTTGCACCTACCATAGACTGCCAGTCTGGCACGGTTTATCAGAATGCAAGTACATGCATCCTTTTGGCTTTGTCTGCCTATTACAGAGCCTGATGTCGTTTTATAGTGGTTGTGGTGTTTAGAGAGTGTGACTCACAGGCGTGTTAGATTAATGGGAAAGTGGTAAGTACTGCTCTCAATATTGTGATAGAGACAGTTGAAGAAAGGAAAGAATGTGAAACAGAATATGCTCACTAATCTGTGGCTTCCGCAGTGTGTAATGGATTTCTTTCCCATTATTCACCTGTACTGTAGTACTTGTAAGGTTCAAATAGGTCTGTAGAAATGACCTTTAACTAATAAGTTAATGAGTGTGTGTGTGTGTCCCCTTTTTTTTAAAGGAGCTTCTATCTAAACTCTAGAATTACTGTCTTCATTCTGTGCGATGAGTAGGCCAGGAGTATTACAAAAGGTTCAATACAATTTTTCTACTCTTGTGCCAAAAAAAATACAAATGAGTTTTCACAAAGTTGTTTTTCACTTCCTATTTATTGAAGCTTCCAGGAAATAAAGGGGAGTTTACCTAAGTAACTGTTAAGTAAATGTGAATTAAAACTGGTATGTGACTTCAGGGTTTGTTCCTAAATGTAAGGAAATCAAAACATAATTAATGACTTGCATTCCCTAATGATTGTGTATGCGAATGAGGGATTTTTTTCTGCTTTAACTGACAAATTCTTCAAGCTTTTGGGCTGTTTAGTTCACTTCTTTGCACTTGACATATCTGAAAACAGTAAACCTTCAGTAGTTTTTTGTGTAACTATTAATTATTTTTAAGAATTTTTATGTAAGTTTTTGTATCCTGAAACTTTCTGAAAAAATGTTAAAATCTACTTGTTGAGGGTCGTACATACTGATGTGAAGCTTCCACTCCAAAGTCAGCTTGTACTGGTGGATGGTTTTAATGCTGATACTGTATATTAGTGTCTTTGTGGGTGGCTGTCTTGGCTCTCATAAATTCTTTAATGTCAGGGTGGAGCTTGGGTGTAATTTGTTTTTGTCATAATGTGCACTTCTTGCATTTAATGGTATTTATAAGATGCCTACAGAAATGTTTTCATTCTAGATAAGACTTCTAATTCAACTCCAAACAAAATTGATTCACTGCTTGTTTACTTTAATACTTAGGCTGAGACAAAGATGTCTACTATAATCCATATTTTAAAATATCGGTATGCATAAAATATTTTAAAATAGGACAAGAAAAATAAACTAGGTTATAAAAACAAACCAGCAATTTGAGTATTGCTGGGCAAGCATTTAGTGAAACAAGCCAAACTTGTTTCGTGATGAGTAATTATTGCACATAATATTCCAAAGATTTCCATTTGAGAAATTGCTACTGGGAATTTTCAGTGTAACAACATCTTGTAGGAATGTTGAAAACCTGTGCATTTTATTTTTGTTTTGGGTTTTAAACTATTGTAACAAAAAGCAGCAGGCCACATGTCTCAGCTCTTTATTAGATATTTTGCTTTCACTTCTGGTAACGAAATAGCTGTCTTTTTGTGGACCAAATGGTTTTTAATGTGTTGACCAAGCTGTTTTCAGAAATTGTGTTGGCCTGTGAGAAAGGAAAAAGGAAGTCAAGTGTAAAAATGCTGTGTTGTTTTTGTTTTTTTTTTTTTAAGTTGTAAATTTATGAGTATTAAGCTGGAAAATGGGTTATAAATTTCTTGTCTAACGCTTAGGATTCCATTGAATCTGTAAGCACCTCAAGTCGAAAAAGCCAAAGTGCTGCAATGGAGACCTTCATTTAACTAACCATCTTACTTCGTTTATTAGCTCCTGTAATGTCTTTAACCTGATTTTGAATGATCACCATGAATTATCCTTCAGACAGGATAGACTCCAAATTTTGAGTTATACTGCACAGTCTCTCAATTTTGAGTATACTTGAAGCAATCAATTTGCTTATGCTAATTGTATAAAATTCTGTCCTCTACTGTATTAATTTTTTTTTTTTTTTAAACATGAGTATCTTTCGGTCTTCCTGTATAAGTTCTTTTCTGGGCTTACCATAGTATGCTGAAAAAGGGGAAGGCAAGTCCAGGCACATCAGTGTGTACTTCCTTCCATTAGTCTTGATTCTGACACATTGGATGCACTAGTTCTTCTGGAGGAGCTGGTTGGTTTAAGCATTTGCATGTGCACTTCCAGTTGAGTATTGCACAGTGAGCCTGATTTTCTGTATTAAATGGGCACTAGTTATAGCAAGTCGTATGCAAACCATGCCACTTAAACAGAGTATTTGTGCCTGTTTTGTGCTATATGGGTTATAATATAATATAGAGTTATAAAAATTGAGCTATATTTTATTTGCTTTAAACATCACTTTCATATATAAAACTTAAGACCAAAACATGTGGCGTCTATTGCCTTAAGCTGTCTTACTTGGGATAGGAAGTCAGTCTGCCAGTTTAAACAGTGTTAATGGTCAGCCTTATTTATATTAGGCTTCCACGGAACCAGCATGGTTAGTATCTTTTTTTTTTTTGTAGCACATATATTTTTGTAGTGCATCTAAGACCTTGTACTAGTTCTCAATATGAAAAGTCCTCAAAAAAAAAGATTAATAGTAGTTCTGTTAAGATTCTTTAAAAATGCATCATCTGATACAAGGTTCTTGAATGGATATTCAGCTGAATAGATGTTCAGAATTAATTTTCTTTTTTCTCCTTTCTCATAGCCAGTCTTGAGTCTGATAATACAGGTCTTAATACACAGAGTTGGGTAACAAGATAATTTAGGGACAGATATGGAAGTGCTGCAGATAGATATGCTGGGCTTCTTCCAGGTATTTGCACTGCACTTCTGTATTTCAGCAAATGTTGTATTTATTGGGCCTTCAGGCTTCCCATCCGAGCTGGATGTGACAGGATGCCCAGTGTTAGCAACTCCCACACCGGATGATTCAGTTGGTGCAATGTGCTGCATGCCGAGTTTTGCTCTGATCTCATTCTTGTAGCATATGGAGAGACGGGCTGCGTGTATTACATGGTCAGCTATGTGGGATGAGCAATTTTAGGTTTTTAGAATAGTGGCCAGTGTAAGTTGGGCTGTCATGTTCAGAGTTTCAGCTTTTCCAAAAGAGGAAGGTAGCCCGTAGGTGTTGACAGGTGCTAGGCAAGAGAGAAACTCATTTCAAAGACCTTTAAGGTTGCTACTAATCTTGATGGTTTCAGGGCAAATGTGTTTCTTGGCAGTCATCTAAGTCAGAGAGTTTTTTAGGCATATTAACTTAATCATCAAATAATTCCAGCCTTGCAACAAAGCTCATCCTAACAATTCTTCCAAGTTTAAATTCTGTTTTCCATCCAGTAGCATGGTGGGTCTAGGAGATTGTGCTATACTGTGTTCTGAAGAGTTAGAAGGTAAAATTCTGCTGCTGCTAATTGAAGTCACTGGGAAAACTCTTACTCATAGATTTCACCTGCAGTCTTCTGGTGTTAGAATACCATATAAAACGTGTATGGTCAGCATATGAATTTACAGTAACCTAAAAATAGGTGTTTGTCAGCTTAGTGTAGTTTTTTCTCTGCGTTTTCAAGGGATGACCTTAAGAGCTTTATTAAATGCACAGGCTTTTTTGTCTATGCTCAAAGGTTTCTCTTTCCTCCTCTGTGTACCTTGTGATAAAGCCATTTTGTACTTCCAAAGTCCAGTAAGTGTACAGACTGGACCTTTTAAGATATCCAAATTCTATATGGGACAAAGAGTTCCCATGGAAAATAATTGTTTACTATTCATATGGAGATGAAAATCATTATTCACCAGGTGTTCTGGAAATGGAGTATTTGCAATTGAATCTCTTCAGCTGTTCCAGTAGTTTTAGCTTCAGATGTTTATGAAAACATAGATGCTGTTCAATTCTAAACAGCTTCAGTTACTGTTATTTTTATAATCTTAAAGATGAATTCTGAACTTCTCACAAAAAGTAGGTTTTAAATAATTTAAAAGTCTACAAAAAGTAACTTGAACTTCTATATGCACTGAAAACAGCACTGTCATTGGTTCTGATTCAGGCCTACATAATTTTAAAATAGATACCAGCATTCGTAGGTCAGTAATCTTAATTACTACAAAAATCTACAAGGGATTACACTTTTTGATTATATTTTCCACAAATAAATTGTGACTCATCCTAAGATGTTTCTAGGAGAGAAGCATTGCTGTGGAACTGCACATAGGAAGGAATGCTCAGGAGCTCATGGAACCTGGGCACTGCATCAGTCAATTTACAAATTGAATTAATAATTAAACTTTGAAACGGGTACATCTAATAATGTGATGCAACTTGTGGATGTGTGTTTGGAAGAAAAAAGAGAGAATACTGACTGTACAGCAAAATTCAGAATCTCTGGATTAGGTAGATCCGTATCTTTTTAATTTAGTGAAATACTGTGGAGTGAGATAAAGTTAATAGAAAGATGCACATCATGTTTGACAAACTAAGCACTGACTGAGGAAAGATCTCGGATTATGATAGAACTCTCCGTTCTTAAAGTTGAAATATGTATGAGCTGTGAAAAGGGGAAAAAATTTTAGATATATTGATGACATACTTGAAAGGCAAGAAATAACTTGAAAAGTTTTGCGGGGAAGAACACATAGTATCACAGTGCCTTCAGAGATAGAGTTGATTATAGTTTCTGCGTTAGGTGTAAATCTTACTATGCAAATCACTGTCACCGTTCTTCATTCTTGCACAGGGACAACAATCCTCAGTGAAGCTCTAAACTCTGAAATTAAATTGAGTTGATGTAATGCCAAAGGAAGGGATAGCTGTCAAATTATTAACATAAGAGTAGCTTTAAGTGGCCTGACTTCCTTATTGGCAGCGTGAAGAAGTGGAGAAGAGCAGCCTTTATGACTCAGTTCTTGCTTTGTAGTTTGAACAGAAGTTCATATCTGAATCCTTGCATCAGCAGACTCTGTTGCACACCAAACAAATTTACGAGATCATTACTTTATACTCATTTGCAGCAAGACAACAGACAAAAGGCAAGGAATGGGTGAGGACAAAATGAAGGGCAAAAGAAACGTTGAAGAGGAAGCGAGCCTTGCCACATCATTCTTCTCTTTTTGCTGCTGTCCCAACTCCTTGCATCACTTCTTTGGTTTTAATTTAAATTTTTTAGAAGCTAGAGAGCAGACAACATGGCAGGAAGGTGGGGTAGATAATACACAGACCTTATCAGCATGGGGCTGTGGAATCTGTACTTGCTTCCTATGATGATAAACTGAACTGTGGATTATTATATTGAGCTTAATATATTGATTGTGGAAAGGAAAAGTTTCCCAATAAAGGGAGTGCTGGTCTATGGCAAACAAGAATATTGTGGAGTTGGCATCTCTGCATTACCTGAAAAACCAATGAAAATGTTGAGCAGTCAAAAACCCAGCACATGTTGAAGGAGGCACTTACATGTATGGAATGGAAAAACTTGTTTAAAATGTTGAGGCTTTTGAAGCTCATATAAAAGGATGAATTGGAGAACAAAGTTCTAAGAGTTGTTAGGGTTGCTAAGTTTGCCTTGTGAGCACAGCTACTAATTTTATTGTGGGGAGGGAGGAGGAGAGGAGGGAAGAAAAGGTTTAAAAAAAAAAAAAAAAACAACCAAAACCCAAAACCAAGCAAATAAACAAAAAAGCCTTTGTTGTTCCTGCCTCTTGCTGGGAGTTTCTGCCAGAGCATGGCCATACAAACAGGTGATTAAAGGCTTGGCACACCTCAGGGAGGAAATATTCCAGCAGAAATGAAGGGAAACAAGAATAAGGAGCCGAGAGAGGGAATATCCAAAGGAAGGGCAGGGGTCAAAGGTTCAGAAAATGGAAAAACTAAGCCAGAGAGGGTGACACTGAGCAGAGCACCCCGAGCAGTGCTCACAGCACCTTGGGGATACCCACGGAACCAGCAGACACTGCTCGGCGGGGTGAGGAGATGTTTCTCTGCCCAGAGACATGAGAGGCTGAAGAATGGGAACAGGCCCTCTCATTCCCAGGATGCGTCTCCCTCTCCCACTTTCTGCCCAGTTCAGACTTTCTCCTCCTCGTGCTGTCAGGGGCGAGGTTATTGTTCAGATGGGATAACTGGGCTGGATGAGCCTGAGGTCTGAGCTGGTGAGACCATCCTTAAGTAACACGCACTTCCTTCGGGAGGGTCTGAAGCATCTTGAACCACTTGTTTCTCTCCCTTTTCTGATGTGTTTGAAGTTTTTACCCCCTCGCTTGAGGGGATGAATGCAAAATCCCCTGTGAAAAGCAGAGGGTGAAGAGAGAGGGGTGAGAAACCTTGCCAGAAAAGTAAACCAGTTAACATTTGTGAAAATGGGAACTGGTAAGTGAAGTTTCTATTTAATGTTCCAGAGATGAAGATTTTGTGAAAAAATTGCATGTAATTGCTTTTCAGTTGTGGAAGTCAGAAGCTCATAGAGGCTGTATGACCTGTGGCAAGTCCCACAGGTTTGGAATGCTTCTGAAGCAAGTGAAAAGAAAAGCAGAATGGACTTGACGGTCTTTTATTATTCGCATTAAAAATTAGAAAGACCGGGACCGCATTTTTGCAAGAAGTTAAATATTCAGGAGGGTTTTGTATGAATCATGCTGAAGTCAAGACAACAGTTGCTTTTAAAAGAAGTATTTTAGAGTTGGTCAAATACAAAACTGCAGGTATTTTGTGATCTGCTTTCATTGTAAAACGTTTTTGAGGGTTTTTTTGTTGTTGTTGCTAGGCAGTGCACTCAGATTGCTTGTGGTAGGTTATTCGCTGACGGCTGTTTCTGCTTTGCAGGGGTTTAGGTGGAGAACTGATGAGACCAGCTGGTAAGTATCACAGCTGAGGTGTGAAAGCAGAAAATGTGCAGCAATGAATTCTTCTGTTTACTTTCTTACAGTTTGTTTTGCATACATTGTGTTGAATGCATAAAGCAAATATGAAAGGTAATTAAAAAAACACAAAGTTTGAAAGCCAATCACAAGACACGTATGCCAGAACATTGCTTGCCAGCACAATTGTGAATAACCCTGTTTGTAAGAATTGGAGAGAGTTCTTGGTTTTGTGTCACACATTCTCTCCTTCCATTGTTGCACACAGTGACATTTCTTCATGGTTGAATTGGTTTCCTTCATTGATTTACTCAGATTCCTCCCTGGAAGAGATATGATCTGTCCATTAAGACAGATGCTGTCTTGTAACTAATGATTTTATCACGATACGTATGTGCGCAAAGGTGAAGAATAAAGACCGTATCAACAACAGTTTGTGGGAAGGGTGGTACCACAGAAAAGATGATGGTTTGTTCACATGGGTGTTGAAGATAGTTACATGCTGAACCACTATAAAAAGGAAGGGCATTGCAGGAAAAAGTAGCCATCCAGGTAGCCTGGGTGGATAAGGAAATGATGCCGACTTGAGTTTCCTGCTCATGTGTTGAATGAAGGAAGTGCTACATCGCAGATTCCAGCTTTGAAGATGTGAAGCCATCCAAACTTAGTGGGTAAAGGAGTTTCAGTACCAAGCTGGAGGGGTAATCAAATAGAAGGAGTGAAGAGGGCAAGGGGATTTCTGCAGTCTTGAATGAGTTTACAGTCTTGTGACATGATAATGCAGGCTGAAAGAATAGGTAGTTTTGTGTAATATGTTTTAGCTTTTAAGCAGCTGAATATTTCATAGTTTTGGAGAAGTACCAATGACAGTATTTTGGCATGATACAGTTGTGTAGGTGGAATAAGAGAAGAATTGAAAATGTTCCACAGATTGCCTGCATGTCTAATGAAGATGATGGTCTCAACCACAATAGAGCATAAAAGAAGTGTGGAGAACTAAGGAGGAACCCTAAGAGACTTGGGTTTAGTCACATTGTACTTAACCTTGTCTGTGAATAAATATTAGAACAAAGAAGCTGACAGACAATATTGAATGGAGTTTGAGCACAAGGAGCCTGATTGTGTGACATTACCATAGTGAGGACTGAATTCAAGAGTGGATCTGGAGCCCAGAAAGTTGATTATAAATGAAGATGATGATGAACTGTGTACAGAGCCTGGAGTAAGATTCAAAGATTAAGTTGTGGGAGGAGAGGAAAACAAAAAGGTGGCATTATATGGTAGCTTGTTCCATCCTCTCCCTCTTCTCCACCAACCCTCCACCAACTCTAAAGCAGTCAGATAGTGAGTATGGATGTATACACATCTGTTTTACTTGAACCAGGAGGTGGAAGATAGTGTATTCCCCAAGTGCTGAGTTTTCATTTGAGCAATGCAGTCAGTCTATTCTATAGTAAAGGTTTGCAGTGTTTACTGTGTTAATCTCTATTCCACAAAACAGCATTGAAACACTAAAAAAAACCTACTTCAAAAGTGGTTTTGTAAGCTTAGAACTCATTTAGGTTTATAGATTTAAAATAACGAGGACTTAAATATTAAAATGACATTTTCTTGTATTCCAAGTATCAAAGGAAATAAAGCGTCATCCAGTTTTGTAGCTCCTAGCTCTGTGCAGTGAACAGATGACACTCCTTGAAGGTCCAAAAAAATGCTAATAAGAAGTAGGAAAACCTTTGATACATATTTGAATAGTTTTTTAAGTGTCTGTAGCATTATCCTGTCCAAGTTGGTTTGCTATCAATGGTACTACATAGCCGTTCACAGACTGGTGGCCAATATGTACATATGCACCTTAAATGGCAGAGCGGGAGAAACATACCACCAAATGATGGGTTGCACGAATGATGGGACTAACTCATGTCAGAGAACAGTTACTGCATAGTATCTTTTTTTGGATGTAAGAATCACAAGTGTAATTTCTTTCCAGTTTCACATATTTTACATATTTTGGACTTTGCAAATTTTCTTCAGTTTAAAATCACTGCTAATGTAACTTGATGTGGTTGTAGCTTCAAAATTGCTGCAATTTCTCTTTTTATTTATCCAGTTATCACATTTATTTTCTTACAGTCTGCACTTTAATTGAAAAGTTGTCACTATCAAAAATGCCATTTAGAGGAGATCCAGTAATTGGTATGTCATATTTTAAATAACCTTCCATTACCTTAGTAGTTATTCATTAAGCTAAAGTATTAACGAATTATGTTTTTCAAAGAAGCAATTTAGCAAGGTTGGGTGGCCTAACAAATAAAAAATCTGAAAAGGTACACAAATACTGCAACAGATGGTGATGTTATTTGAAGGTTTGTTTTGTAGCTGTTCAGTAATTTTTTTTTTCCTGTCAAGTTTTCAGCATCACCAGATGCAGTGTTTGCACTATGTATATTGTAAACCAAACCAGAATAGCTATACTACTTGAGAATCACAACCTTGTATGTTTTGGAAAACCAAGGAAATACATTATTATGTATAGTTGCTGATCTCTGTAAAAAACAAAAAGAGAATGTTGAACTTCAGAAAGTAAGAAGAGTTAATACCATTTATGCTATTTACTATTTCAGGTGGCTGGCAGTGGTTAATAAACGACAGTCTAAGAAGTCTCCCTCTTGTTTCAAGTGCTGCACGACAGCATATAAAGGTACAATAGTCCCTCCTTCTTCCTGTGGTCACACTAAATACAGAATTAGAAATATTTTTGCTTTCTGTCGCTGGATTATTTTCCATGGAAGCCAGTTGGGTCTTGAATGTTTTCCTTAGATTGGTAAGAAGGGTTTTTTGTTTGTTGTTGTTTTTTATTTGAATTCCTCAAAATTCAAATGGACCTTTTTGATAATAATTGAACAGCTATCACAAAGGTTATTCTTCGAAGTACACTTGGACGAAGTAATTGAAAGGTGCTGGCATTGACAGTGGGCTGGTGGTGCGTAGTTGCTGATGGTTGCTTGAACCTACTTGCTCTTGGCATCTCGGTTACGTTGATGTGCTGTTTTGCTTCTATTTTGGTGTACCTGTAGTATGTGTAGGATATGTTGATTTTGTTAGTTTCAGAGAACTTTTGTGAAAATTAAAAAGAATCTCTGGATGATGTCCTCAGGCCTTATGTACTGAGGGCATATTTGTTAACAGAATATTGCTGTGATCAACCAGAGTTTTTCAGGAAAACTTTTGCTTTTATTTCTCACTATCCTACTCTGATTTGATTGGTAATAAATCAAATTAATTTTCCTCAAGTCGAGCCTGTTTTGCCCATGATGGTAGTTGCTGAACAATCTCTCCCTGTCCTCATCTCAACCTACGAGCCCTGCATTATATTTTCTCTCCCCTGTCCAGTTGAGGAGGGAGTGGTAGAGTGGCTTTGGTGGGCACCTTGTGTCCAGGCCAGGGCCAACAACCCACCACAAGGTCCCTTCCAACCCAAACTATTCTATGATTCTATGATCTACTGCAATTAGATAATTCTGTATATTTTGCTACTATAATGTCTGTGGTAGTTAGAATATTATTTAGATGAATAGTGGTTTTCTTTCAAGTCCTTGATGTTGCATAGAGAACATGTCTGAGGTGTCTTTGAGGGTAGAATTAATAGGCTGTACAGGATTCCTGCGTTATCGTTTAAGATTTCTTGTACCCAGAAAACATGAGTATTAATAAGGATTATTGCTATTAGTATGGAGTGAACAGTGCATAGTTTTTGTACACTCTCAAATTTATTATAATTTTGGTCAGCGTTATTGTTATTAGCCAAAAAGTATAATTCAACCATAAATTTTATGAGAAAACTTTGTTACATGCTTTTTGAAATAGCAGCTGTGTTAATTTTGTGTTCTATATTGGTGACCAAAACCACTCTAAAGATTAGGAGGTTCAGGCATAATACACAACCTTTGATCCTTTTCTAAACCAATTAAGATTGAGACACAAGGATTGTGATACTGCATATTTTGGGGTTTTTTATTTATAATCTTCAGTCTGTGGTTTTTTTTCTGTGTTTCCTTTCTATAGCCTTATGGGGAAATATGGTTTGTTTCTTATCAATCTGGCATCAATATATTGAAGATGAAATAATGACTTCTGTATTTTGTAATACTGTGTCATCCTGGAGGTCTTTCAACTGAACCGAAAATACAGCTGATACATTACATTTAAGACATTAATATGTCTTAAATATTTAGCTTACTGGTGCTTTTGAAGGAATAAGAGTAGAATCTGCTTTTATTTTACATAGGTTTCCTGTTCAACTGTTCCTAAACTAATATTGGAAAGAAATAAAAAGAAAGTAAATGTCAGTAGCTGAAGGGAATGATTTTTTTTTTTTTAATTTACTCTCTTTTTCCTTAACTTTTTAATTCTAAGCACAGTTATAATAAAGTATGACCTTAGTAAATATATCAAGTTCACGGTTCTGCCTTTGTTACAGGAGTCTGCAGTCTCTGCACTGGCTGCGCTGTGTAATGAATATTACATCAATGAGAAGGGAGACGCTGATCCAGCTCTACAGGGTAATGACTCATGTTTACAGTAGAGGCAGAAAATATTAGGCTGGACCTAACTTGCACTTTGGAGGTATTGGAAAGAATGGGGAGGAGCATCACTAATTTTAAAGAACCTTAAAAAGCTTCAGGAAAGAATGATTAAAACCAACTGAAAGTCTAGGAAATATCTTAGGGGTTTTGCTTGTGTTAGCCTGGAGGTGAATGCAAGGTACCATAATAATGAATATTAGGAAAAACAGATTGCTTTTCTATTCCATGCTGTAATACAGAGCAGCAAAGAATATGTGCTTCTGGCAAATCCTAAATTTTGATGAAGTGAGACATTTTCACATCATATTTTGATAAATTTTATGCCAGAGATCGTGACTGACTTACAGAAGAAGAGTTGATTAGGGATAAGGAGAGAGGGATAGCAAGGACACCCGGAGTTCTTGTAAATGAAATGTGCATATGAAACCTGTTTGGATTTGGATCAGGATTAGGCTTAAACTTTTGTTAGGGGCATATGAATCAACATCTTTTTTTATACTGGTTTTCTTGGACCTTTCTTTGTTTCAAGTATCAAATTGTATTGTGTCCATCAGAGACAGATTGCTGGATTGTGGAGATAGATACTGTAAGAATAACAACATTTATGTTCTTCATTTTCTAAATATGACAGTGAAATTACATATACACAACAAAATAATGATTTATTTTCCTATTTTTTGCCATTACTAAGTCATTCCTAAATCAGGTAACAGAATACCTTATGATTTATTTCCGTTACAGTAGTTCCCAGAATGAACCTGATACTTATCACATACATAGTAACATGCAGTCCATGCCTCAAAGAAGTAATGGCTGATATATAAAAGCAGCCTATCTTGATTTTTTAAAAATGTTTTCTATATTGCTAAATCTCTATATTTTTGTAAATTTTTTTCCCCCCAAAAAATAGCCCTTTCCTTCATGCAGGTTGGCACTGTGTGCCTGATTTTTTTGTGGGCAGCGTGGGAAGATGTGATAAGATACTGAGGCAGAATAAAAGAAACAACCTCAGGAAAGGGTAATCTTTTGTGAAAAGAGAACACGTTGGGCAGGAGGAGAAAATGCTGAATCAAAGCAAGCAAGTTAAAAATGACTTGGAAGGTAAATAGGCCACATTTTATGTAAGGATGAAGTTTCAAACTTCTGCAAAAGTGGACTGGAAAACTCAGCCAGATGTCAAAATCAAGCGGGAGAGAGGATCTACTGGAAGAACATGCAATGGATGGCTGCAGCTGTTCTGATGCTATAAACTTTTAGATGCCTGTGCAGCTTAATTGTTTTTTCCTGGATTCTAGGTTAACTTTTCATCTGGCTTATGCTTGAAGGAATCATGGCAATGTAGCCAGGGTGGTCTAGGGACATAATTAGAGTCAAATTTGTAGACACAGGAAAAAATTTTTCATCAGACTTTTCTGGAACGATTGAGAGAATAGAACTGTGAGTTGGAAATTCTTGTGTTCTAAAAAAATCTCTTAGTCAGCTCTGTCTTCATTATGCTTTTATTTGGCCTTGTACTGCCTCTTCCACACACAGTAACAAAAGTGCCATTATACATACAAGCATCTTTTAAATGGAAAAAAAAAATAATTGTGTCTTTTCATCTCTGTGCCAGTAAAAACTATGTATTTCATGACCATTAAAATCTGTATGTTGTGGGATTGAAATCCACTGCTAAAAATCCTCCCCATAATGTCTGATGTACGCATGTATGTGTGGAAGCTACAATGCAGAAGACATTCAATGACAATGCAGGTGCCTTATCTACGTTGGTTAAGGCAGGTCTAAACATGATTAAGGGGATTAGAAAAAAAAAAGGCTTTTGTAAAATTTAACCAGTGTTTCACTATGGCTCGACAGATTAAAATGAAAACGCAAATCAAAGATACTTTAGTGATTTGGCATTCTGAATCTGTCCCTATAAGACCACAATTTTATTGAATCAGTTCTTTTGCCTCTGTTTTCGCCTTTTCTTTGTTTTATTTTTTCTGTCTTAATGTTTTCTGGTTTGGTTTTGATGACTTTCTCTTTGAATATTCTTTCAGGATGGGTTGTGTTGAATTAATATTGTAGACACTTCATGGGTCATGTTGTTTCATGAAGCTGAAGACTCTTAGAAGAATATGAACATTTGCATTACCCTCACTAGCATAATTACTATGTAGTTATAAGTAAAGAGCTGCTCGTTTGCTACTTGTCATGGCTTAATTTTATGTCATTTGGCTAAAATGTCAATCTTAAATTTACATCAATCAAAGGGAAGACTGTCATAGTCTTACCATCTAAGATCAGCTTGCTGTCTAAGCAAGCATTGCATCTTCCTATGGCCTCAAGACTCTATCTTACACTCCAGTGGTTTGGAAATTTTTAAATAATAGATGTGCTTATAAGAACTTATTGCTAACCTCTGGACAGGGAACTAGTTCCCTGATGTGAGGAACTAGTTGAGGCCTGCCAATTGCATAGGGATTTAAAAAAAAAAAGCCAGTCATGAGTTATGATTAATGTGTAGTTTCTTTTGGTAACTATTCTTTCTTCCTCTAGCAAATATTGCTCAATCATTTAAATCTTAGATGACAGTAAGCAATGGCACAATTATGTAATCTTCCTATGATCTCTGCTTCTTTTTCCTTGAGGATTAAAAAGTGCATATTCAGCAAAGCGATTAATAAGACCACCTTTCTCCTTTTTGAAACAGAATTGTGTTTGTTGCAGCTATCTTGGTTCTTAGAAGCTTTTCTGGAACACCTTGCTTTTCTCTGCATTTTACGGAAGGGTTTAATATAGTAGCTGAAAAAGCTGGTAAAGGAAGTATTGTCTGTTCAGTCCATGATAAAAACTACAGTAGAAATACAGAGATTCCTGACTTTTTTTCTTTTTTTCATTCATCCTCATTTTCTTCTTTATATCACTTTACTTCATTGTTGAGCCTCCTTTTTTCATGCACAGTTCAGTTTATTCTTGTTGCTTTTGTCTGTGCTACTGTTTGTAGAGCCATTGCCCCTGTTTTGTGAGGTAACAGCGCAGACAATCTGAGCACAGCATTCCTACTTCAAGTGGTTGCTACTTTTTGACCTTTCTGCTGCAAAAAGCCCAAGTTTATTTTTGTCTCTATATAAAAGGTTATATGAAGTTATCCCAGTGCTTCGGTATGATCTGTGTATGTGTTTAAACCCTGAGTCCAATTAAAACTTCTCTGGGGGAAAGCTGTCGAGTAAATCCAGTGACATCTACTTCCTGAGACAGAATACTTGTCTAATTATGGAAAATGATGACCTGTAAATATAAGAGAACTTGTCCCCCTGTGTTTGCATAGAGAGTTGTGCTTATACTTATTCTTTGGATTTTTGAAACATTATAACTTTTTAAAATTGAGAACTTTGTCGTTTCTCTCTCTGAATGACTAGGACTAGTCCACCTAAAATCTGACTTCAGACTTAGAAAATAAGAATTCATTCATGTAATGGTGAACATATTAAAATTTTTATCTCTTTTTCTGTAGGGAATTAAAATTATTCTGTATTTCAGTTTAATGAATTACAAAATTTCCTAGTTGCTCTTTTGGGGGGGTCTTTTCCTGTTTAATTTTTTTGTTGACCAAATATGTAATGATAATGATGTGGTAGTTGCTTTTCACTCTGCAATTGTGTTTTTTCTAGATGAGCTGGTGACACAGTACGTTTCAGAATTACAAAACACAGAGGAAATGATTCGTTGTGGCTTTTCACGAGCTCTTGGGGCCCTTCCAAGATTTCTGCTAAAGGGCAGGCTCCAACAGGTGAGAAAATATGATCATTGTAATGAGAAGAGGGCATATGGTATTTTGAATGAAACCTATGATGGTAATCAAATAAATAATAATGATCATAATTAAAGGTCTTGTGAAAGGGCTTTGGATTCTAATGTACAGTAACTCCAGAAAACCATCATGAGTTTAGCTTGCCAGAGATACTGATAATTAAAGTTTAGTCCTCCTTCAGTAGTGTTAATGGAAAAGCCATAGATTGAATTGTCCCTTTGCTATGAAACATTTGTCCAAAGGGAAAAGTGAGGCATGCTGACAAGTCCTGGTGAAAAACGAAACACTGGTGCCTGCTTGGTTCTCTCATACGTGATTGAGCTCATTTTAATATGATATCTAAATTTAATATTTATCATAAGAAATGCATTGGATTTAAATTTTTTTTTTTTTCCCCCCTCCCAGGTTTTGGAAGGTTTGAAAAAAGTTACCTTGATTTCCCCTGCAGATGTGAGCTTTGCAGAATCCAGAAGAGATGCCCTAATAGCAATTGCAAAGTATGTTATCATCTTTATTTTTGTCTAATTTTAATTCTTTCTCTAGAAGTTTTCTCCTGTTCATTCTGCTTTCTTTTGTGAGCTTGTAGCACGATTCTTGAAATCAGATACACTATGACATATACATTGCTAGTGTGGGACTGTATACATCTCCATCAGAGGATTAGCACACATCTGAGGATGGAATACAACTCTGGTGGTGTGCTTTTTTTAAATCAATTAACTGAATAGATAGAGTATATTTTAAAGTTTGCCTTTTTCACGGGCTGCAATTTAATGAGCTTTAGTGAGGAGGAAGAATATATGTTTTTTCCACTTTCTTAATAAGAAGATTGTATTGGTTTAAAGAAATTGTACTTTTTTCTTAGAGGGATATTTTCTATGTTGACATGCCATAGTGTAGTTAGTGTTAATAGTATCATAGTATATATGCTCTTAAACTGTTACTGTGCAAAAAAAAGGTGTCTTCAATCTAAAGAAGTTTGTCAATACCAAACTCAATGCACATTGTATTAGTCCTTTGCTCTTCTTGCTTACTTCACTTTAAGAAGAGTTCAGAAAGTGACGGGTACTGTAAGCATGTTCTTTTTTGTAGTATTATAGATGTAAAACCAATCTGCCTCTCTCTTGAGGTTTTAGCCGTGCCAGTGTTCCTTTAAACCTGAACGCTGAAATCCTCACGTCAAATATAACACAGTAGGCTCAGAAATATTCTTCATACTGTTTGTAGCAGATGTTATAGGTGTTCAGAATAACATATGTCCGGGGAATTTTATTAAGCAACAGAACAAAGCTATGATCTTAATGTTTCTCCTTGCCAATGTTGTGGTTTTTTTCCCCTCCTTTTTCTCTTTTTAAAGGGTTTGCCAGACAGTAGGTGTAAAAGGAGAAGGATCTGAGGGAGAATATGTCTGCAAAGATAATGTTACTCAGATTTATACTACGTTACTTAGTGGTGTGACTGACTACACCACAGACAGCCGAGGAGATGTTGGAGGATGGTAAGATGCCTTACAAGCAGAGACTTAAATTTAGCTGTCATGTTTGATATATAATTAAAAAATTATGTCTTTTCAAATCTGTTAGAAATAGATAGCTCTAAGCTTTTGGAGATTTGAATACAGGTGGAAATACACTGGAGGAAGAAGAGTAGAAAGTGAAAGGAAAGGCTGACATCAATTTGTTTGTCCCTTGCCTCAGAGGTTAGAAAGATGGGGACTATTGTGTGTTAAACTGAAGTTCATCCTTATTCTGGTTTTGTGGATGACATTATTTTCTTTTCGTGAATGTCAGGAATGTATTTAGTTGTAAAAAGTACACAGATTTAAAACATTGCTTCTGTTCTTTGAGATAACATGTTTACTCCTACTTGGTGAATGCTATTGTTCGTTCGTGTTGTGGGGATTTTTTGCCAGGAGAGGGAGCAGTTGCATAACGTGTTAGTGACAGATTTTCCAGGCTAGTGACTGAGATGGATAAAAATTTTATAAATTGTGCTGTGGTATTACCGACTCTTTTCTAAACTTAGGGTTTCCATGATTTCAGCTATGAGATTGTGAGAATAATTATATCGTAAGTCTGTAGGAATGTGTCAACTAATGTGAAGTCTATAGAATAGAGATAAGATTAAGTCTGCAGCAGTCATATTTTTGTGACGTTCTTCAGTCTGCACAGTTCCCTTAACACATCAAGAAGATTCAGTATATAATATTGCATCCATCTGAATGTTCTGTATTCCTTCAGTGACAGTACAAATCTGAAAAGGCAATCTCTAAATTGATGCACCAAAGCACTATAAAGGCTTATGTCCTTCTTCGGGTTTGTGTTTAATTTCTAAAGAAGCTGTAATTGGGGATGTAGCATCACTTCCTGATTGGAAGTTCCTGCAATCTTTGAATGTGGTAGACAGAGCAGCATTGAAGATTTCGTGTTATTCACTTCATTCTGTAGAATTCCACAAGGTAGTTACCAGGTGAGAAAACCATGGGAAATAGGGATCTTTAGAGATCAGATGAATACTAAGGAAACAGACAGACAGTTTGTCAGGCTACTTTTCTGCGTGTATTTACGAGCACAAATATGCCCAGCTTGAAATAGTACTTGTTAATAAAAAGCATGAAATTCAGGAATAAATCCAGTATTTAAATCTGCAGATTTAAAATATATGACGATGTAGAAGGCTTAGAGCATTAATACTTAATTAACATTAATTAATTGTACATTAATACTTAATTAATACTTAATTAACATTAACATTAATCCTTGTATAGAGAAGCCATAAATGAAGTAAATGAATGTGATAAAACAATTTTAGTTGTCGGAAATTGATTTTGAGTACAATGCTGTATTTGACAGAGACTTCTTAATTCTACTGTTTTAATCCATTATTTTAATTAGAAAACATGCAGATATATGTTGCTTTTAGATACGATTCTATACATAAAATTCTATACATAAACAGCCCCGTTTACCAGTATATGTATTACTGTTTGTATGGTATAGTAGTGTCATGGTAATGTATATTTGACCTGTCTGGCAACTATATGAAGCATCTCAACAGTACAGAGATACATGTTGAGGATTGTGTATTAACAACCTGTTGATTGTTCAGATCTAGTATCTGGCTATGCTCCTATTACATTCTAGGCAGGAAGGGGGGAGTGCCTAAAAAGTACTGGTATGAAATAATTTTGTTGGTTGAAAAGATTTCCTTATTTTCCCAGTTTATTGAAGAAGCTCTTGTCTAATAGTGCTGAGTCAGATGAAAGGCTTTGGTGTTTAGTTTCAATCATATCCTTGCAGGGTGTTTGTATGAAATAACTGGTTTAGGCATTTTTTCAGTCACTGTTCTCTTCTTTGAAGGGTGTTTTCTACAGTAGTATATGAACATGAAACATAATTTCCTTTTAATTTAATTGAGTGGCATCTACTGTATTGTAACTGGCAGCTGAGACCCAACAGGTGAGGAGGGGTAGAGGACTAGTGAAATGAAAGGCTCCACGCTAAGTATGCTGTGGCTATAGCAAAGCTGGCGGAGCTCACAGATGATGGCTGCGACCTGTGATGGTAATTGCTGACTTTTGAAGGCTATGATGGGTGAGATGTTAGGAAGGGTGTGCACTCGTCCTTGCTCATCATACTTCTTGCGGTGGCCAAAACAGTCTCAGTCGCTTGCTCCCTCCTCCCTGCTGCAAGAAAAACAGTCCGGTTCTGGAGCGTTGGCTGTGTTCAGCTTCAGCAGCCATGCATAGCATGCTGATCCCTGTTCAGATCCAGTATAATAACACATGATGCCAAGTATGCATCGTGTGAGTTTGGGAACTTTTTGTTTAGGCTCAAATTTCTGGTTGTGTCTGTTTTAGAATTCTGTCCTAGTCACTCTCGACTTTAGTGTTGTTACTCTATTTGATAGCCCCAGGTTTGCTTTAAAAAAAGAAAAAAAGTTAATTACAGTGGCAGTCTCCTCTTTAGGTTTGCTTATTAAATATAGTTTGAGCACAAGGGCAGGTGCTGTAAAGTACGTTTGTAATTACCAGGAGGAACAGGAGCTACTATAACACACTCTGTAACCAACTGTTGTCTTCTGTAGAAGGAAAAGCTGTGATTGTGCTTTTTTTGTGCAATATGTATCATGCTAGAGTTTTTCATTGCCAGCAATCACTGGGTGGTTTATGCTGCTGTCAGACTTTAATGCCTGTGCTCTACCGAGTCATTGAGATCTCATCAGTTCCAGTGTGAGTTGCAATAGTTACTCCTAACTACTCTGTCTTTGAACAGAAAGTGAAGTGTAAGTTCTACGGTGCAAAGTAGAAGAAAGATATTTTGTGCCGTGTTAGTGTTGGGCACTTTTTTTAATTGACTAGCCTTGTTCCTTCAGCATACGTCACTACAATATTTACAAATGTGTTGGAAAAGTACACAGGGCAAATAATACAGACTACTCTTAGCAGCCTGAGTTAATATTTGTGTGTTTGTATGTTTCTTATTTTCTGTAATCATAGAATCATAGAATACTTTGGGTTGGAAGGGACTTAGCCTTCAGTACTGGTTGCTAAAATTGTCATATGACAGGACAAGAAATCGGAGAAAAATGGGTGTGTTTGATATCTCAAACTTGGAAGAGGAAACAAGGATGCAAACTAGTAAGGATCAAGAGCAGGTCATTCCAGCTTGTGCAAGAGAAAGAGCTTGGCTTTCCCTCTCCTTCCTCAGCCATCAGAGGAACAAGAGGGAGGTGAATGGGTCTTGGTTAGAGAATGACACAAGAGAGACACGGGTGTCTCTTCTTACAAGATGTGAAAGCAACCATAGGGTGGGGAGTCAGAGAAAGGGAAGAGATAGTAATATTTTTGCTTTCAAAATTAGGCAAGAAACTGAAGTGCGTGGAACCTGGCTAAGTATTATTAGGTATTCAAGTTAACTTCCACATCTGACTGCTCTCACTTAAGTTCACCATACCTATTGTTTATCCTTCTGTCTATGTCTTCATTTAAAAACAAAACAAAACTCTACAAAGTGGAAATTTTCAAAGAAATCATGAGGAAATTAAATTCCCAACACCCATTAAAATTCAAACGTGCTCTGAGCACCAGATTTTTTTTAAGCTTCTTTGGCAATGCCAGCCAGAATCAAGTCAAGAAACATGTAAATTAAAGGGGGAAGGGAAATCCTTTCTCACAGCAAACCGTTGGCTGCTAAATACTTTTGTGGCCTCTCAAATATGAATGTTTTCTCATTCTGTTTCTTCTAAACTATTGAGTAAGATGGAAAGATATGGGGAGAAATGCCATTTCTTTGGAGAGACCTTGTCTTTGGTGTGTAATTTTTGTCTTCCTTTAATGGAATCGTGGGAAAGTTTAACCAACTTTACTTTCCATACGCAAACTTTAAATTTCGTTAGACAGATTGTTTGCTGGGACTTGTCCAATCTGTCTACAGGTGTTAGACATGAATATCTAATAGTTAGATACTATATGAAGAACTAGGAAAACATACTTTGATGAAAGATTGCCAAACTTGTATTAAGCTACTTAGGAAAAAATGATGTAATTTACCTTTTTTACCATTATAACAAATGTCCCACCCAGTTTTAGATTGCATAGGCAACTATTTTCAGCTTGTTTTGGCAATTGGAAGCAGGAGTATTTCTTTTCACAGTAGGCAGGTGTATGTTTTCAAATATTTCAATTTGTTCTTTTATTTCTTTTTTTTTTTTTTCCTCTTTTAATTATTACTGAGAAAGGATGACATTACCATGAATGACTGATGTGATGAATGTGTTGGTCCTGGTCTTCTGCAAGATCATGTAAGCAACTGAGGATCTGCCATGGTATTGCCCATGTCTTAAGAAAGAAACTACTTTTAACAACTCATGTATTGACAAGGCATGTGGTTTAACACAGGCAAATTGATTTTTTTTTTTTTTAATTGAAATTACACTCTTAATCTTTTTTTTATATGGATATTATATTTAGACATTTTGAAGGCAGAAAATACTCACCATATAGATAAGATGCACTTCAAGCACAACTTAGTGTTACTTTAGCTAATCTTTTTCATAAAACTAATTATTATTTAGCATGGAGATTTAAGCCATTCTGAGTCAAAATTTTTTTTAATGTTGGAAATATTAAGCATGAAAATTTACAAGAATATGAAATTTTTAACAGTGCTTAAATATCTTGCAGTCAAAATGTGGGTTGGCCTTTTCAGATGATGATTTGAAGCAGACGAAGCACTTAGCTTTAAATACATCTGCTTGCACACTAAATAGTAATAATCATTATCAGTTTTAACATTCTTAAAATAAAGAATAAACCTGATGACATCTGGCTGGAATAAAAAATAAGGTGGTGAGGCAGGGGGCTTGCCTGGAAACTGGGATGACCATTGTACCCTCAGTGCAATGTGAGCTTCACTTTGCAGAATGGGGCTGGAGGGCCCAGCTCTACACACTCCTCTTCCTCCCAAAACTATGATAGCTGCTCTCAGTGGTCAATGCTTTCATTAGTTTGAATTTTTACCAGTGTCTAACTTAACTGCTGATATATTTCTTTAAATAAATACTGATGTAACCCCTCTAATGTATCTGTTTTAACAGGGTACGTGAAGCTGCTATGACAAGTTTAATGGAAGTGACGCTTCTGCTGGTTCAGAATGAAGCGGAGTTAATTAATGCCAACATGTATGCTACTTGTACTGTTTTTCTGTCTTATGTTATAACTACATTCCAGTCCATACACTTTTATTTAATACTTACTCCTTTATTAAGTGTGACAGAACTTTTGATAGAAGTGCATCAAGCTTTCACCCATACAGATGCTGAGAATTTTGTATCTTTTACAGAGAGACTCACCCTACTGTGAGAAACTGGGTGGCAGTCTCACCTTTGAAATATGGTGTGTGTGTGAGATTTGGTTTATACTTGCCGCCTCTGTGGAGCTTGCCAGTATTGTTCACTTAAATAGAAATCAAACTTGGCCGCTTATCCAGAATATTGCATCATTAATTTGGAATGTGATAAAATGTGGAGATGAGTGCGTATTCATTTCTGTCACCTTTGCAGAATTATTAGTAAGGACATAGAGGAAAAAATAATTTACACTGAGCTTCTGATTTTTAATTTCATCAGTTTTTAAGCATAGCTTGAGCTGCAGCAAAACTTTCCTAATAGTGGTGGTGTTTTATCGACAAAGCATGCCCAATGGTTAGCTGAATGTAGACATGATTTCTTTTTTAATTTAAAAAAACCCAAACTTTGAAGGACAGGTTGAAGGAAAGCACTGGATTCTCTAGGAATACACTACTCAACCAAGTGCCTGTTGTCCAGGAGCTTCCTCCTGTTGGTCTATTGCAGACATAGATTATTCACATGAAACTTAGAAAAACATTCCGGCCAGTTGGATCACAGTTTCTAAATATTCTGGGGTTTGCTGTAACTGAAGGAATTCTAGCTGGTTTTACTATCGTTAGCTGGCCTTTCCGAGGGTGTAAAAGGGCCTTCTAGAACACAGTATTGTAGCTGAGAGTTTAGTTATGAATGTCGGTAGAATAGAATATTGTTAAAAACTAGCCAGAGTTGAAGAAGGGGTTAATTTGGGATAGACCTTGTCCTCTGCTATGTGTGCAGTTTTCTACTTGAAAATTTCCTGCTCTGTTTCCATCTGAAAGTTGATAGCAGTTGGTCCAAAGCACCTTTGTATCTTTTTGGATGAAAGGTGGTATGTGAATATCAAATACTGTGTATATTAACGTCATGTTTTTTGATTGATCTATGGAAGATAAAGCTTTAAAGATTCTGTCACCATGTTGATGTCTTAAATCACTTGTACGTTCATTACAAAGAGTTAAACCAGAATACTTTCGTAGCAGGACATTTTTGATACCGCTGAAACAATTTAAATTTACATACACATTCTGCTGATTAAATTATGTAATTAATTGTTTTCTTCTTTGTAGCTGCAAACAGATTATGTGCTGGCTGGCTCAACAGTCGGCTGAAAAAATAGATAAGTTTCGAGCTCATGCAGGGTCTGTGTTCCTTACTCTTTTACATTTTGACCATCCTCCAGTTCCACACATACCTCATCGAGAAGAGCTAGAGAGGATATTTCCAAGGTAATATATTGAAAAATGTATCCTAAACCAGTGAAAGTAAAAGATACGTGCACTCAGTTACACCTAACATAAGCAACCTAATGTAATTTTTGTGCCCAAATGCCTAATATGTTTATGGAGGAATATTTGGTGCTATTTGTTAGAATTTCATTGAGCTGTCCAATGAATATGCATAGATGTACAAAATATTCAGAAGAAGAACTTACAGTATGAGTTCCTGTTAAAACCATAGTTTCCTAACGAGATAGGTCTAGTTAGGCTATGCTTCATAAGTCTTTCTCTGGATAAACCCAAATAATTTCTGAACCCATCAGCCAATTTCATGGTGGATGGTAGAGATCATGCCAGTAGTAGATGGGAGACCATTGGTAAAACAGAACTGTTGGGAGCTGTATTTTGGTAATCCTGCTTTTTATGAGAGGTCTGGTTTATAATCTCATTTTCTCTTCATGATGGGGGTGCTGGAATTTATTGGCAGTCCCCCTTCCTGAATTTTTTTCCCCCGACTGGAAAACATTGATCGATCCTAATGATCATTTCTAATGAATTGTGTTATTTTAACCAAGCTCTAGTTGCAGTAGTTTTCCAACATGGAATTTCTAGTTAAAGCAAGAGTGAGAACAACTCATTCCTGTATGGTGGTTATAATACCTGGCTGAGTTGAGGAACATCCAACTTTGTGTTCGCATTCTGTTTGTTCAGCAGAGTCTCAACCTCCTGTAACTCAAAAAGTGCTTTGTCTGCTAGGCTGCCGATTGATCTGTGGTGGGATGTGTGTCAGCCTTTCCTGGGAGAAGTCTGTCTTTGTATCAGTTGTTGACTAACTGTTGGTGGGAGAGAACTCGGAATGGAATGCAAGAAAGAGAACTTTTTTTCTTGGTGTAGAGAACAGTGCACGTGAAAGGGAAACTGTGGTTCAAATCCCTATCTGAATCAGAACAAGGACTTGAAGATTGATTCACTTTACTGGAAGTGGCTGAAGTTTTGATTTGTATTTTCCCCATAGGCTTAAAGACCAATGATTTATTTGATTTTTAGGTAATTCAGAGACTTTCTTCATTGACGTGCTACTTGAGGATGAGGAGCTATCATAGGAATGTATGGAGAAGAAAGACAGTGCGCACATACAGGATGACTTTGTTTTCATTCCCCTTTCCCCAGGTCAGAGAAAGAGACTCTAAACTGGAATGCCGCATCAGAAGCTTTCCCTCGAATCACCCAGCTTTTGGGTTTGCCAGCATACCAATACTATGTGCTTTTGGGTCTCTCGGTGTCTGTTGGTGGATTAACAGAGACAACGGTAAGAAAGCAGAGTGGCTTTCCTGTTTAGTAGGAGAATGCATTTACCGGATAAAATTTTTGACTAAAAAGTTTAGTCTGTTACAACAGATATTGCAGACAGTTATTTCTGTGAGCGTTTCAGATGTAAGCTTTTTAAAAGAAATCAAGTCATACTTTTAAACCTGATGGGCTTTATATTTTTCATTTTTAAAAGTATTATTTTTTTGACTTGCTGAGCATGCAGGAAATGAGGAGTAAGGACACTTTGTTTCTCATTTCGCGGCACTATAGAAGCTGAGAGTTCCAGCCTGTTGGCTCAATCAACTCTTCAGGTTTATTTGTGCACCCTTCCAAGCTGTTAACAGAGGAAGAGCCGTTCAGCTAAATGTTGTGGCTAAATGCAAGGTGATTGCCCTTTTTAAATGAGGTGAACGCTTGTTTTCACTTGTAACCTGATGCAAGGTGTTGACTATTAGTTGTCAATATGTGTTAACAGTATGTTCAGGGTTTTTTTTGTTTATTTTGATACACTTTCTACAAAAGTATCAGAGAGATGCCAGTAGTTACATAACAAAGAGATACCATTTAAATATCTGTCTGTCTGAATCCTCTGAGCTTTGCAATCTCTATTTCATTCTTCTGTGCATGAGTAGTGTCTTTATCATTGGTTTTGGTGGTCTGTTATGCTGCCAAAATCTTCCAGACTTCATTATAATTTTAGCGTATCCTTCTGTCCTTATATTACAGCTTTCTTCCTAGTTCCAGAATTCTTAGTTTCAAGATATTTGGCTTCTAACTTTTTTGTCATTTGATGTAGCCAAAGATGTAACATATATGAAAACAATTATTAGGGTAAGGACACAGTTCAATATGAAACTACAGAGAAATATCAGGTGAGTAACAGAATATTCTGGACTGTCAGTTAAACCTTTAAATTGCAGTGGTCCTGTAACAGAAGGAGGAGGTCATGAGTCAGCACCCCAATAGTGTTTAAGAGTGTTTCTAATTAAGACTACCTTCTCTAATTAAGAAAGCTGGTAGAAAAGTGGTAAGTGTTGGGAAACACAATTTTGTGGAGAGAACACAGCTCTTGCTGGACTCACAGAAGGAAGGAGGTAATAATTTTGAGCTTGTATTCCATGGCTTCCACTTTTCAGTCTTACCATGAGCTGTTCAGAATACGCCCAAATGATGGGTTTTGCCTGGTGTCGTGGGTTCTGTTCTTGCGATCAAGAGATGTCCATATGCCTTTGGGTTTCATGGAGCTGAGAATTTCGTGTCTGTGCAGTCTCAGGTATTTCAACCAATTTTGATAATTTGAATCATTCTAAAATGGCAACTAATTACATAGCAATGGCTATTTTAAAACTGTGAAAGCATATGCTTATTGGTTTGTGACAATAATTATCAGAGAGACAATGTAAATCTTAACAGATTTTTTTAATAGCAGACATGCACATGAAATTCAGCTTTTACTCAAACACAGTTAATTATAGGAGGCTCCACCAAAACCAAAGTTATTCATGATAGTGTGAAAAGGGAGGAAGGTTTTGGAGAAACAGACATTCTGACTGCTAACTGAGGTCAGAGGAAATTTCTTATTCAACTTTTTTTTTTAAGTTTTTGTCGTGCTTGGTTTTGAAAAGTGTAAACAGTTCAGTTACTTCTAGCTCCCTTCCCTTGTTACCATCTGCCAGCATATTTAAGGGGAACCTTCTGTACTGTTTTCAAAATACAATTTTGAAATGTTAACTTTCTGTGACCCTGCATTTTTCTTTAACGCTAAAGGCTTCTTCTGGTTAAATATTCTCAAGGGCTTTGGCTTTAGAAAGAAGATGACCTAATTCTCTTTTGAGCCAGATAGAAGTGCAAAAGAGGCTCAAAGTATAGGGTACTTACACTTGGGATTATACAGTGTGTGGTAAATTACATTTAATATTTAAAATGCGATAGATAAATTAGAATTGTAATTTTAAAGCCTTATAATGGCATGTGTTTCAAACTATTCTATCAAAGCCTGTAGTGTTCTTTGCTGAATATCCAGGGACTGACTGATTTTAAACATTAATAGAAAATTTTAAGAACTGTTCCTATTAAATCCATATGAAGGAAGCAGATTTTTTTTTTTTAAATCTTGGATAAAGGAAAAGGATTATTCAAATCGGTGTTCTTGCAGTAACCTGTGTGTGTTCTTGTGATCTCTTCTTTCTTCCCTCTCACTTCAAAAATACATATGCACATACACACATGGACATCGAAAAGTTAGAAGATTCTTGTATACTGCAAGATAATCTGAGTTCAAATGTCAGTTTGTCTTTAAGTCATCTCAGGGAATTAGTAGGAGAAAGGCTCCGTTGTAATGCAGTGGTCAGTGGCTGTTTTTCCATAGTTAAAATTGCTCTGCAGTATATTTAGCAAGAGTAGTTCTTTGTTTTGCTTTTTAAAGAGGTTTTCTGAAATGAGCTGTGTGGGGTATCTCAGAAACATTTTGGTGGCGGGGTGGTTGCTGAAAGAATTGTAGCTTGAGCATTTGAAGTAATCTGGAAAAACAGAAGATGTCATTCCGTTTGGGATTTGGCATTCTGCTACATCGCCTTGATTCAAAGGGCACTTTCTCTGTGAAAAGAATCTTCTAATTATATTTCTGGCTCACAGTGATGCATATTTCTTATGGCTGCATAAAAAAATCCTCTCAGTATATGTGGATCAGAGCTATACAATGGTGTTCTTTCTCTAGTTCACAAACCCTGTCGTTTCAGAGGTCAGGATATAATTTTGATATAATTTCATTATTGTTGAACTACGCTATATTTAAAATCTTGTTAAACCACAGAATGTCTTGAGATTCCCCTCCTTCCATAGAGAGCGAAAATTAGATTTTCAAATGTTATACAAATTTTAAGTAAAACCGTGAAAGAAAAAGCAGCAACCTATTTTGAAAATTAAAAGTTTTCTCCCAGGCCAGTACCAGGGTTCCAACATGAGATGCCAAAGACCTGTAACAATTGGAATAGCCAGTTCCAAAACTCTCTGATGAATGCATATGTATGTTAAAGCACCTGACAAAAATTAAAGCCCACCTGTGTCGTAGAGATACCAACGTTATCTCTGTGCCAAATACATGATATGATTTATGTTTTACTTTCCTCAAAATGGACTCATTGTTTGCCAGTGACGTTTATGACACTATGTGTACCATTTTGAGCAAATCCTGGCCTTTGAAGGGCTGTGTTAGTTCTTAGAAATTAGAATGTCAGGACATTCTTAGATGATGTTCTAAAACATCTGGTTACTGTGCCAAATTGTATGCAAATTAATGCATTTTTGGGTTTAAGGAACAGACCCCAAATCCAGTTTTCTTGGTTGACAACTCTAGAGCAAAACAGATTTGAGAATGATTTCTGGCATTCTTTTTTTAAAGAAAAAATAGTGTGAATTGCTATATTCCTACTTCTTGTAAAATATCACTGACGTGAGTCTTAGAGTTACTGGCCTCCAAAGATTTGACTTATTAAAAGGAGTGTGGCAAGTAAAACAAGGGAGAGGTGGTTTCACTTGTGCTAAAATTTAAATGAGATGTGATTTTTTCTGAAGTTACTGAGAAAATAGGCTACTGCCTCTTAAGGGCTGCAAATTTGTTGCGATTAGAAATGATCCAAACCCAGTGTTAGTTATTGAGTGACATGGTTTCTTCTGCACATATTACAGGGATGTTCTGATTCTGTGAGTAGGTCCTTCTCTGTTGAAATGCTCCTATGAAAACTGGAGCATTCTGCATTTTTATATACAGTTAATTGCTAATTTTGTCCAGGCCTTTCCTGTAGTTTTTCACTTGACTTCCATTGGTGGTGCGTTAGGTGCAGAAGACTGAGTTCTGTTCCGATACTTGGGGTCCAAGGAGACTGTGGTTAGATGGGAGACTGGCATCTACTGAACCTCTTCAGTACGGGCGCTTCCTTTCTCATCATGCCCCACTGGTTTTGTTGTCTGATCTGTCCAAGACAGTGCTGCAAAGTAAGGATCAGAGCCCTTAGGTGGATTTGGCGTCTTTATAGCTGATGGGTAGCTGAGATTTTGAATGCCCTGTTACAAAACAGGATGCCTAAGCTAATTTCCTTTTGGCCATATCAGTCCCACTTCTTGCCTCAAGGCTCTTCAGAAGTATTGTACTTCAGTTTTGCAACAAGCTGACTTGGAAATGATTTCATGAAGGTTTGTGTAGACGCTTTCCTTACGCGCCAAGCACCTATCCAGAGCTGTAATTGCCTTCTCCACTTGCTGTAGCTACACTTCCTCATACTTTTCCCCTGGTTCAGGAGGTAAAATCCTTAGGACTTTTTAATTCATCAGATGAATGTTCCCTTTGAACACTGTTCACCTTATTGTGTATTGCCTATCACTGAAGTGTCTACTCTCGGCTTAAGTGATGGGAGAGTCAAGCCTTGGCAAACCCCGTTCTTACTATGTTTAATAAGAACAAGGTCATTCTCAGGCCTTCTCTTAAACTCTTCTCCAAAGTTGTCCCAGTTCCAACCTGTTAACCTCCTAATTTCCTTTCCCAGTCCTTGTGCAACCCCAGGGAAAGGTAAATGTCACACATTTGATGGAGTGTGAATTCTGCATGAATGAGGAGGACATTTGGAAATGCTCTTCTCTGAAAATACGCATGAGCAGTTGAGGTTAGAGCTCAGATATTGTCCTCATAGGTTACCTGGGAAAAAAGGAGTGTTCACCTGAGGAGGAAATATGGATCTAACCTGTTCATGTAATGTTATCTTGTTACGTTGGAGTTTCTTGCGGTAAAGTTTGTATGGTCTCTGTTGATGATTTGGAAAACGTCCCATTTCTAAATCTCCCCAGCAATTCTGTGATGGTTTATCCACACCTGTACTTTTATATTGTTTAATTACTTGCTAATGAAGAAATGCTGTCTTAATTATGTGTTTTTTCTGACTATCCTTCTACTCTGTCTTGGTTTTGCGCAGCTTTGGAACATCCTACGCATATCTATGCTTGCTC